ATGTTCATTTGGAGATGTTTTTTGGTAGGCAAAAGTAACATGTCACATCGATGGATTCATTGTCTATTATTGTTTTTTGGTGTTTCAGTGTTTTACTCGACATGAAAGTTGAAAACGCAATGTCATCATCGTCATAACCAAACTCCAAACATCAAATGAAAACATTTACATGGACAGAAAAAAACGTATGAGGTGGTAAATCCAAGATGTTATTGTTTCTATTGCTCAGCCAAAATGTACAATAAGAATTGCTAGTTGTGAATATTGTGAGGAGCTACTTATGGCAAGCCCGACAAGTTGGAATATTATGTCTTGCATCAATGTAAGTTGGATTATGGAAGTAGAGTTGATTACATGTGTATCATACAATAATTTTCAAAAAGTCAACGAAGCTCAACATAGCCATGAATTGCATCGCAACTATGATTAAGTACACAACAAACAATTTGTCACACCATCAGTAGCAACTTTTTCCGAATTTCTTTGATCTAACAATGAATGCAAACATACAAAACTATCATCATGGCAATTTTTATAATTTTTTGTGATCTCCAATAATTGCATCGCAACTAGGATTGAAAACAAAAAAAATTATTTTGTCGCCATATGAGTAGCAACTTTTGCCGAAGTTTTTCAATCCGCTAATGAATGTAGACTTACAGAATATTCATCATTTGAAATTTGTAGACTTTTTGAACTTCTCTAACATTGCATTCAATGTGTGAAACACACATTGAATGTATTGAACAAGTGTTTAAAAATAAAACTCATGATATTCGTTCGTGATCTCAATCTCAGCTACATCAATCACTCAAGAAAAATGATTTCTTATCGATTACTACATAAACAACACATTGAATGTTTGCTAGAGCTTGATATCAATTCAAGTAAGTTAGTAATAATTAAATAGAAACATGTTTCTAACAACTCGATCTACATTTTGATCAACATTTTAAAAAATCTAATGTGGAGATTGTGCACTTTAAAGTTTGAAAAATTGCTAATAAGTTGTTGTGGACATTTTGTTTTTTAAAGTCTGGTCAACTATAAATACGTTGCAGCAATAACTGATACTATCAGTTAACAAAAGTATACTCTCATTGACAACAACCGTCGCCTTTGTATCCGATAGTCAAGTTATCATGATCAAAATTAGTAATAATTTGGTCAACTCTCATCCAAACATTGTTTACTTGCGTTGATATTTTCAGTTGGTTTGCACAAATAAACAAAAATCTCAAAAAAAAAATCACGTTCTAACGGAAAAACCTAAATCTAAATTAAACACAAGCAGATTCATTGAAGTAAGAAAGTCAAACAATCTTTTATCGCGTACTGCGATCACAATTGCTCGAGTTTCTACTTTAGAAAAAAAATGTGCAATCTCATGGTGAAAGTCAACCAAATGATTTCCATCGTTAACGTACAATTCAAACGATTTTCAATATCATCTATAGTATTGGCACTTAATCGAGAAAGTTTATTCAAAAAAGCACTTGAAGAAGATGAAGAACTTAATATGACACCAATGAATAAATTGACTTTGGAAGATCTGTAGTTTACTTTGAACGAGAATGATGATTTTTAGTAAGATTTTGACATGTATTTTGATTTCATTGAATATAAACTAGAATGACCCCATATGTTACCGCCATAGTAGATAAGAAAAATTGGATTGTACATAATTTGTTGTCTTGGATAATTAACTTTTTGATATATATACTATACTATACTAGCATTATGAGAATATTTTAGTCTATATTGTATTACAATCATGAACTCTAAACTGCAAAGTCATGATGGACATGACTCAAAAAATTTGTTGTGACTCCAATAGTATAGAGAAGACTTGGAGAATTGATATGTGAGGAGTTGATAATTCTAGTTTAATGTAGTAACTCTGCAGCAATGTTACATGAAACCAAACCATGAAATTTACAGATATTACTTTTGGCATGTCAAGTTGGCTAGTTGTTATTCCGACACAAGAAGCTGCAATAGATTTTACTTTTCTCGACCCAAACCATGGAATCATAATCTATCTTTGAATGCGGGAATCTACTTGAAAAACATGGATTCTGGAACGTTAACAAAGCATTCACAAGAACTCGCAGGTGACGGTGGGCTGAGGGCTCCATCAAGTAATTTTCTAATCTCTCTCTCCTCGTTTCTAGGCGCTCGAGAATTGCAAGTGCCGGTTCGATGGGAGCACATGACAGCTTCGAGTCAGGCATTTACCTTTGGCCTCGACCCTCAGGCTAGGCTATTGGCCTGGTGGAAGAAGCCTCAGCGTGTCCACGTGACTCGTCGCCCTTCCCTAACACCAGGAATGCACTTGATCGGCCTCGACATATTAGAGCCTACGATTCCTGCCTGACAGCGGGTCACAGCGTGTTGTTGAGTTGTAGGTTTGCTCTCGCTGTCCAGCAAAGGAGTGCCAGGATCTGAGATCTTCTGGTCGAGCAGGTTTTGAATGGGAGGTTTATCTTGTAAGACCTGAGCTCGAGCTGAATAGCTGAGCAAAGATTCGGGTCCTCTCTTCGTTCGAGGAAGTTCTGAGACAACGCGTCGAGTTGCAGACATGCAGCCCTAATGAACTCGAGGCCCTAATTCAGGAGAATCAGAACACGACCAGGTGGGCGACCTCGACCGAATGCGCTTCCCAAAGAGTAGAAAGGAACCGGGAGTGGGACCTGATGAGCTAGCTGTGCTGCAAGTCCAAGGTCTTAACTAACCCACGAAGAAGAATAACAACAATCGACGACCTGGCCCTTCGAAGACTTGAAATTATCTGCACCTCGTACAGCCGATCGGTTAGTGTGTCAGTGAGAGCACCGGACAAGTCGTTACCAAATCAGTTACACGAAGAACGAAACTCCAGAAGCTCGCTCGGTCACTCGTCCAAAAATCATGTTCTCTCCTTTCCTTTCATTTCCTTTTCTTCTCTGTTCTTTTCTTTCCAATGGCATGAGAACGTGGTACGCATCGTGGGCCTCATGGCATTCGCAGAAGTCTCATTCATTCACTTGGCCAGGTGGACCCGGGCCATCCGTGCGCTCGCTCACTCGAGTGGACTCGTACCCGGACCTCGCGCCAATCAACCTCTGCCCTTGTGTTTCAAGAGATCGAGAGACAGACAGAAAGACAGACTTGAGCCAGTCAAGTCAGTCCATGCTTCAAGGTGGGAATAGATAGGGCTGCAATGCACTCGGCGTGAGGAAGGGAAGGGAGGTGGGACTCAACTTCCCTCGAGGTGGACCATCATGCAACAGCTCATACTATCGATGAACGATCTATGGATACCAACCAGGCTAGTCTAGGACCTGGTTATCGAAATCTCGGTCCGTGTTATCTTTGCATGACAATTCAAAGCACGGCGGTATGAAGGTGATGGCAGCGGAAGAGGAGGAAAGAAGGCACGGTCCGGGGCGACACTAACACGAGACTAGCAGTGTGAATCTCATATCAAATCACGAGTCCATCAGTGGAGACGGGCTCGAGTGGAAATAACGTCTGGACTGGTGGGTAATTGTGACTTAGAGAACTGAGAAGCCCAGCCTTCAGGTCGAGGAGTGGTAATAGTCAGCAAGAAAAGAAGTTTCAAGTTTCGCGCATCAGATGTCGGTTCAATTGACTGTGACAGCTGACCTTCGTCAACTCGCCATCACATCGTAAAAGTGAGCTGACTTGGTCGAACATGGCTTGTGAATCCCACAGCATGATTTTGTACAGTAGAAAATCGATACGAGACAACGAGTGCTCTTGATTTGTACTCATGGATGGACCGACGTGTCGAGTTGCAAGCACTGGTGATTGGAGCGGTTCGAGTTTCACAAAGCCTCGTTTTTTCTTCAGGGCTGTCGTGCGCGCATGGGACTCACTGCTTTCCGAGAGGTCATGGTCTCCAGCGACAAGACTCTCATCACTGTCGATGACAAGACTGAAAGAGCTTGTCATGTCGCACGCCAGTGACTACTTTCTAGTGCTCTCGGTGAAAGCTTTGACATTGAAAGTTAGCTAAACTGCGGGCATTATTTCGGTGGGCCCGCCGTCCTGTGTGCCCAACGCCGGTTTGGGCTCTGATTAATCTTCGAATGCGATTGCCATAAGCTCCGGCAACAAGAATGTGACATCTGAGTATACAGAACTGTAAGGACCTAAAACCTCCGATTTCTTAACTGGGGTACGGGCGAAAACATCTGCCTGTTGTCCTCTTAATGTGTATCTAGTCTGGTTACACTGGATAGACGAAGACACAGGTATGAGCAAAATATCCTTGTAACAATAAAGAGGAGAAGAGAACAACAGACGTGAAACATGCATAACATCGATCCATACACACAGTAAACAAAATCAACCGGTTGTCTCACAGCAGTCAAGAATGCTTGACGGTGGGGGCCTTCAAACATGCGTCTCGTCACGATGGGAAGTTCCACACCCGACGCCCCATCACGAATGCTCACCGATTCGTATTACCACGATGCCAACCTTCAGGTTGCACTCTGCACGCAAAACAATCCCTGAAACATCCTCGAAGATCAACCCTTCGGGGCAATTTCTCTGGTCAAAAGCTGCAAGAAGCCACACAAAGTCCCCTTGTTTTAACTCTGGAAGAAGATACGATCACTAAAATAGACATCCAACCAAGCCCAAACAAGAGAGTGCTTGGTACAGCCCTGCTTATTGTAACTTGTTATTTAGAGGCGTCTCCTTCCTGGCTTGTGCCCAGTAACTGACAATAATTGCCCGCTGTCCAAATTAATGAAAATCACGAGTCGCAAGCACCTAGAGCAAGGCACAACGAGCAACTTAAGTGGAAACAGATAAATCTCCAGGAGCTCAGCCAGTTGACAACACTGCGACCCAACTTTCACTTAGGAGGCAAAGTGACGTAACAAAAAATCCATATCCCAAGCGCGGCAACATAAAGCAGCACATTAAGAAACTGCCACCATCCAAAAGAGACCACGCGAGAGTCATGTAACTTACAGCTTCGGGATGGGCAAAAGGAGGTAATCAATATAGATGAGCATTTGTTTTACATTGATGATAGATCTACAAGGTTGAGAGGAAACTTTAAGAAACTTGCTGGGGCAACCATCAGCCCGACCGTTGATACGTAAGTCTCGACTAGAAATCTTATGAAAGATTGAATAACCTTCTCTCGTAGTGCGGCGTGCACAGAGAGGCAAATAACTCGCATTATCTTGTGACATAACTTCCAATACACACGGAGTGACAGTGCACTTCCATAAACAAGTACCTGTTTCCCGCTGAGATTCCAGTGTAACCGTCCGCACAAGACCATTCCTACATCCTACATATCCAGCCATGCTATGATTTACCAACCTAAGTCATAAGCGTACACCAATGGATGTACATAAATGCTTCTAATGGCCACATCCGACTGATCTCTATAACGAGTTCTTCGCTGACTGAAACAAAATCTTACCTTTGAGGAGTTTTTCATAGCTTGCTTCAATCGAGAGAACTTAAGCACTGCATGTACATACCTTCCAACCTAAGCAACACTAAAATTCATTGTCACTTTCCAATGCTTCTGAACGGGATCTGACAGGTTTTTTGCCCTTCTTACTCTTGCCCTTCTTTTCTTTCATGCGTCTCTTCTTTTCATTCATGTCAACCCATGTATAATCTGCCGGAATCAAGAAAGGATCGATTTCTTCCTCTATATGGTCCTCCAAATATACAGCACCATTAGAACTCCCATTTTGAGATCCTCTAATCCATGAAAACCATGAGGCAGACGATAAATTCGGTAATTCACCCTCCTTTCCTTTAGAATCTTGGAAGTGTCCAGGACTCGATAGAGGCGTACTAAATTCTTCGCTGGATTTCAACTCCTCAAACTTAGTGAATGTTATAACCACTCTGATCGTAGGCACGACGGGAATCGCAACCTGATGAAAATCCAAACAGACCAATCAGAATCAAATGAATTACGTCACTTTGCGGACTCAACAACTACCCCCAGCGTGTCGTCACTTTTGGACGCACATAAAGGACAACCATTTAAATAGTTGTGCCAGAGAATGTTATTCCCCAGGGACATATTTGAATCAACCTCCGAGAGCCAGGGCCAGAGAAAACTGGCTACGACAGCAGACAAGTAAATTTCAACGGAAAAAACCTTCAGAGGCCACGAGAACCCCAAGAGTCAAAGTAGACAATTACACACCTTCACAGGAAATGTTCCATTCGGCAACTTTGTGGTCAGCAGCTCCCTCAGCCTGCGAACAGCCTTAACCTTGTTGGCAAGAATGTCCAGGAGAGGCAATAACTCCTCAGTCTTCAGAGGGAAGTCCTGGGTCAGCCAAAGTACAGGCCTTAGTCCTTTCTTGTACTCGCTCTCGCTGTTGGCCTCTGTCCTGCGCTTTCGCACCGGTTCTTTAGAAGCCTTCTTCGACTTCTCCTTACCCTTCCGGAGCATGAACAGGTCTTCATCTCTAACGCTGGAAGGCCTCCGGTCAACAGAACCCCTCCTGTCCACCATCACGTCCACCGACGAATGCCTTCTATCTGGTACATCTACAGAACGCCTATGGTCCACAGACCTTCGGTGGGCTATGGCATCCGTAGCTCGGGGGGGCTTCATCGTCGATCTTCTGGCAGGCTCATGACTAGAAGAAGCCCTTTCCTCTCCTCTCTTGCTGTCGACCTTAACGCTCTTCCTACCCCACCCGAACCATCCTTTCTTTTCGGAGTTAGTAGAGGCCATATTGGCATCATGGGTTTCGATTCGTTCTACAGCTGGAGAGGGGTGGAAATTGTATTCCTCGTCTGCCGCCTCCAACTCTTCGTCGAAGCTATCGTAGCTTCCGTTTCCATTTGCCTGACCCACTTTGCTGGGCCTTGGACGACTGTCATCAAAACCGTCGTCATCAAAATTATCGCGCCTCAAAGCACTCTCTAACTGCTGCTTCTCCTCTGCTGTCAAAAGATCAGCGTAATCTTCGTCCAGCTCGCCTCCCTCTTGCCTGTCCCCTTCGACAGCAAATAGCTCCTCATCGGTCATGGCCCCAGGCACTCTTCTCGACCTGACGCTAACAAGCACGTGGTGCATGTCAAAAATCTTGGCTTTCCATGCACCGACCATTTCGGTCCTCTCTTGCCTCCTCCAATTCAGATGTGACACAAGCTCTGCTTGTGTGACGTCGATACCTGGCCTGTACATGTTGGTTTGAGACATAGCTGCCACTTCTTGGGCAATTTCGGCTTCCGAGGGTTGCACTCCCGCTCCTTCCAAGGCGTTCATCACTTCTTTTTCTTTGTGACTGAGGACACACAACGAGCCAGCTGGAAGTTTACCATCCTCGCTACCGTCCCCTAGAAACAAGAAGCTTTGATCCGACCTGTGTATTCTGAAACCGTCAAACCCCGCCAAAGTCATGTCTGCCCTGAGATTGGAACCGCGCTTCCATATCCTGTAGGTGTCCGACGGAGCAATTCGACCGATGAAAGGAATGACAGAGCTTTCGAAGTGGAACGTCAGCTCCATGTAGAAGTCCCGCATTCGCCCCATGGCAGCTGTAAGGCGAGGCAAACGCCGGCACCATTTGGCCCATGCCATGGGTTGGTAATACCTAGTGATGATCATCGCAATGGCATCCTCCCGGGCGCACACGGCCTCCTGCAACGCGCTCCACCCGTGCTCATTCTGTAAGCTCCAGTCGGCCCCGGCCGCCATGAGCATTTCGACGGCGTCCGCATCTCCCAACCTAACGGCCAAGTGCAGAGGCGTCTCGCGTCCCGGAACATCCCTGCGATCAATTACCGCTGACGCCTCGTCGGCTCTTTGCTCCGCAATAATCGACTCGGCTTCGGTGCGCACCTCGCCGGCTTTGGCAGGCCGAGGCACCGACGCGAGGATGCGGCGTAGGGCAGAGTGATCGCGGCGAGCAATGGCAATGTGAGCAGGACTGTGAGAGAGCTTGGATATCTCCTCGGTCGACAACACGGCCATCTTCCCGTACGCCTGCCTTATGGGGACCAATGCATGTGTGCTCCCTCCGAGAAAAAGCGGGGTAAAAAAAGCGACAAATTTGACAAAGCCGGTTCTGTAGGTCTCTCGTTCAAGGAGCGACTTCTACAAAGAAGGGGCAAAAGCTCGGTCCCGTGCGCAACCTCGCACCATGCGATGAGCTTCGATACGAGTCGTCGGTCCGCAGCGTCTCAGTCCCGATGCAGACAACGCGGCTTCCCAGAATGGCCTAGATATGGAGGTAACATCACAGCACGGAAGGAAAAGTCCACCGAGCGCTAGCGCGCGTCTAACCAAGAATCCAGAAAATCCGCCAGCGGCAATCCCGGCATACTTTGCTAAGTGGCGAGGGTCCACAATCTCGAAGAACAGAGGGCGGAAACCGGATTTGACCTGCGATAGCCCTACACGCAAATCCCGACGCGATATACATACCCAAACTCCATGACGACTTTCCGATTTCAAATGACGTCTTTCATCCTGAACGCTGCTCCTGCTGCGCCCGCCGCCTGACAATGACCTCCACGCGCTCGCTCCGCTCCGTGTCTCGACAGTTGGTTGCTCCCGGGAGGCGATCGATGGCAGAACCTGAGTTACAACTTCCGCTTTCCCCCCCGCCTGCAGCTGCACGCACTCTTTCTGCGCCGAGAGGAAAAGCTCCGGAGACGAGACCCGAGCGCACGCACACACAAACCTCGCAGTATTCGCTCCTTGACTCGCACGAACACACAAACACGCGAGGTTACCTCTAATGCCAACGACAATGTCCGACCTCGCCTCCTCTCCGGCGGGCTCTGCTAACAACGCCCTTTGACTGCAAAGACCACCGCCTTCGTCTCCGCGCGGCTTGCTGCCTGCCGCTCCCGCCTAAAAATTCTCACCGCCTCGGCCTCGTCCTCCTGCTGCCATCGAGCACCGCGATGACAAGAAGGCCAAACGAGCCCTCGTCTGCTTCTTCGCCGTCAAAGCACCACTCCTCCTCCCCATTCCTCCCCTCTCTTCGCCCTGTCTCTCGCGCCCTGCTTCTGCTTATGCTGCAGCTTCTTTCCTCGCGCTCGCGCTTGCTCTCTCGCTATGCTTCTGCCTCGGCCTCCGTTCCTCGTTCGCTCCCTCCCTTCCTTCCTTCCTCTGCCGCTGATCTTCCTCTTCCTCTTCGTCCTCCTGCTCGCAGCTCCTGCTGCACTTTTCGCTCTCGCGCTCGCTCGCTCGCTCGCCGCACCGCCTTCGTCCCTTCGTAGTCGTCGTCGTCGTCTGCACAACGCCGGCTTCACGGGCGAACGACCATAACCGGAAGCATAAGGAAGAGGGGGGCCGCGGGGGGCGGGGGCGGGGGCGGACAGTCTGAGCTGGCTGGCGGGTGGCGGGACAGTCTACGCTAGTCTCGTCACTTGCTCGCTGCTGCTCCCGTCCTGCGACGACGACGACGACGACGAAGGACGCATGGATCGACGAGCACGAAGAAACGAGAGACTCGCGGGCCCTGCTCTCCTGCTCTGCCTTCTATTCTAGCGCCCAGGCCTCGGGCCTCTCTCTAGGCAGGCACGCAGCCAGCCACGCCCGCTCCTCAAGGCCGCGGATGCAGCCCGTCGTCGTCGGCGCCAGCGATGACCAGCGTACAAATTAAGCCACCACCAATACGGCAACCGATTTCTCCCCGCCCCGCAAATTATTTTCTTGCTTAGAGTATTGCTCTCCCTCGAGATCAATATTTTAGGGGTATGCGCCGAGGCCAATTTCCCGGCGCCGAGGGCCGACGATCGTTCGATTCCGCATCGTGAGGTGGAGGTCGATGCAACCGACGGGCTTTAGGGGAGGGGAAGACTAGGCTGCCAGCTGATGATCCAGGCCACGAGGTCAGCCGGTTATCCGAGACCCATCATAGGCTGCCACACGTCGTCCACTGGCAAACGCCCATCCATCCGGTTTCCTCATGGGAAGAGGAGAGGAGGGCCCCTTGGCCCGGCCGCCGCCGGGCGCGTGTTCCAGCGGGAAATGCCTATCTCGAATTTGATATGATAACCGCGGACATTTCCGCCCTGCCACCTGCGCCGTCCGATGCGCGATCGGAAGACCCCTAGGCTCGACGCCCCGCGCCCGTCCGGATTCGCAGGCGGCCGGTTTAAAACAGGACCGCGAGCAGTCCGTCGGCTCGGCGCAGAACCGTTCACACAATCCGATTACGCAGATAACTTCGAGTTAATTATAAATGCCCACCATCGCGAATCGCAAGACATCTCGAACGACGACATTCTACTGTTCTTCCAGATAAACAAACGCTGCTCGATGTATTCTCCGTTCGCAATTGGAGTGATATTAAAGCCATCCCGCTCTACGTAAAGCCTCGATACGACTCGTATCACGATATTGTACCGGCCCGGAATGCTAGAACTCCGAAGCCAGGCCGCGGGAGATATTTCCATTAGGACTTTTTTATAAGTCTGAATGTGAAGCGTCACCAGACTGAATAATTGCTGACGCTTGAGTGCGAGGCACGAGCTGTGTCCTGGCAAGGTATTAAAGTGTTAAACTATGGGAATATCTGACTTCAGATATTTAAAATCTTTGCGATTTCTTGGCATTTCAGGCCCCTTGGTTTCAGCTCTCTCCTATTATTTCTCGTGTAAGTGTGCAATGAGTGGAATCTGAGAGAAGAAGGTTCACGACCCATCACTGTATTTCATGTGCTACTGTGGAAACTATCTGGCTTGGCTTTTAACTTCCTCCATCATGATTAGGTTTTTGAAAGCAAGGCAGTGAAACGTGATTTCCGTTCCCTCTTAGTGGTATCGGTATCATGTCCAAATGTTTATGACCCTCTAATGATGTTTCATATTATGATTGTTAAGACATAAGTATGAACTTTATTGTGGTGTTGTTTCCCACCTAAACCAACTCGTGCTTGTTTAACAATAAGTGTGTGTGTGTGTATTTTTATCGACGCATCTTTTATACTTGAGGTAAACTTTCATATTTTGTTCATTTTCTCTCATCCATAGTCATTATCCACGTTCACACCCTTCTGCTGTTAACCCCTTGGAACTAGATTTTGAACTAAAATAAGAGATGATGGCATGTGTTGTATGTTGTACTTTCATGTGTAGCAGGCAAACCTCATGATTGCTTTTATGGAAAAATTAGAAGGAAATGGTGAAATTCAGGAAAAGAATGATAAGACAGCGTTTTTTAGATAATCCATGTGGGACTTGATGGACTCTTCCGTCATTTTTGCTATATCCCTTGGAAACTTTGACTTTATCTGGTAAGATATCTATCATGTGTAATCATCAGTCACAACTCACTTTTGGATGATTATCCTGGATATTTGTCACTATAACCTTCATAGCGTTCAGCTAAGGATATCTTATTAGTCGTTCGGGCAAAGAAAAGGCATGTGAAAATTCCGAAAAAGCCGAATCGTATTCAACAGAAAGAACTTATCGATTATGTGGATATATCTCCTATTTTCATTCTGAATGCACTCATTGCAATAATCACAACAAAAACCACTGGATCTCTCTAGCGCTATGATTTCTATGATGGATTTTACAATTGTTCAGTATAACCAATCCAGTGTGTAAAAAAGGTGACCTGTCATGTCCGAAATCTGCAACCAACGTGGCATATCATTAGAGTCTTATTGAAGACTGTGAACTTCAAGTATTCGAGTTTCCACGTCCATTACGAATAAGGGTTTTTAATCTTGAACCTAGGCATTACATTCAAAGTTATATTCCACCGAGCCACACTTATTCATAGATAGCAAACGATCGACTAGTGGATAGAGCTACTTTCGCAGAAAGTGGGTCTGAAATCAATCTTTATTCATGATTTTTCCATGTTTTACATATTTCTTCAGATTATTTTACAACATTGAATCCATTGAGCATCCTTTTTATAATTTTAACTACGTAGACATTTCAAATCGTATTCGAATACAAAAACTTTTTTTCTTAATTATTATTAAAAAAATTAAAAAATGTAAGCCCAAGTTCTCATCGAAAAAGATATTATGTTTGAGGTAGGGAAGTATATTCTATTTTATAAATAAGATGAAAATGGATTTTTCATTTTTCATTTTTATAAAAAATTTATTCAGAAATATCACGAATAGTATTGATATTTTAGGAACATACGGACACAATTTGAAAACTTACAAATATTTTCCTTATCTGAATTTTGTATAATGTACTGTAATGTATATGTCTTGATAAGACCGAGTAAATATTACACATATCGTCTAGAAGGACTTATTGTAACAATATTCGTTATGAGTACCTTCTTCAAAACTTCACCTTCATATCAACTTTCGTGCATTTTTTTCTTTCAAAAAAATTTTTTAAATCAAATATACTGTTGATCCCAAGACATTGTCTTCTTTTCAAATTTCAAGTTTCACCATATTTTTACTTAATGAATATGAATTTTTTTATATAACTAAAAATTGAGATATTATTTTGATATCAAAGAAGGTTATTATAATGATATGTTTTTTTTTGGGAATTTTTTTAAACCAGACATCCTAAAATTTTATTGAGGAAGAATTATTTATTTCATTCTATTAGATATAGAAATTTTTAAGAATTAAAAAATAAATCCAAAAGCAAAAGTAAACAAAGATTATATACAAAGTGAATTCAGCAATATGAGCGATTGAAATGTATGCTAGGAATAGTTGGATTGCTAGGATGGTATCGCATAAAGTTTCGCTTTCGTGATTGATTTGCTTTCAGTATTAACTTATCTTAAGGTGCGGATTATCATCCGTAAGTTTCGCTCTGGAGAGTAGAGAAGTAGAAGATAAAAGCGAAATTATTCTTTTGACTAAACATAAAGTCCAAACCGGAGATGCATTGTTCAGATATCCACGTCGGAACCCATCAAAAGCAGCATTCTGTTTTAGATACTTACATACCGGTCTGCAACACTTGCGACAACTTAACGATGGGTCGGTCTTTATCGGCAGTTACCAGCTAGGCTTGGGTAGCAAAAGGACTTAAGTCTGTGACCAGAATCCATGCAGCTTATAAAAAAGCCAAAAAATTGGAAGGACAATAAACAGTTTGGAGACAATGGAAGCAAGAGATTCTTGACCGAGCACTTTTGTCAGATCACCGACTTCCTAAAATCGCAGTTCTGGATTTTCAAAGGCAAGAGCACGACGAAGCCGAATTTTACTAACCTGGGGCTGGCCCGAGTGCTCCACTTCTCTGCCAATAATGCGAGAAAGCTGCCAAAGAAGGGGCCATTTGAATCACCTGGCCTCGTCACCGATAACGGGTCATCGGGTCGGCCGGATGTTGAGAGTGGGTGGGTGCCCTGAACCCACCGGCCAAAATTAGACCCTTCCCACGAAACTCCTTACCTCCTAATTATAACCCGAGTGTAATCCCATTACCCTCAAGTCAGCCTTAAGTCACCCTCAAGTCGTGTGAGGTAAGTACGAGCGATGAGTGTCCAGTGTCGCCCGCGTACCTTAACAAAGTATTGTATTAATGACGCCCGCATAAACTTCGAGACACAATCCGACTTCGGCCGAACTTTCGCATTAATAGCAGTCCATAATGCGAGGCACTAGTGCGCTAATCATCATCACCTTCAGGGTTCATCGGTGCGATGGCCCGATCGCCGGAATTGCAAATTGCCATCAAATGCCCACGAATGACGATCGCTCGCGGGTCGCCCGGCGTTTAAGCACCTCACGCAAAAGTCATTCCGAGCAAATGTATTGCTCCCATGATTGGTTATGTCATTAACAACACGCTTCCATTAGCAGATTAATCTCGGCGAAATGGGACGACAAAAGGGGAAACCGAGTAATATACCGAATTGGGGATTTCGGGGCTTAATAGAATTAACAGGGGTCAACGCGAATACACCGGTTCGATATGTATTATACAATCGTACTGATTTGTCGTCGTCGTTGTTGTTATTTCAGGACGTACCTGCAGGGCGCCAAGGACGACCTTGAACTGGCCCGAGTTCTGACCGCACCACCCTGGTTGCCGTTACGGGCCCAGAGTTGAGTCAGTGGCCAACGTGCAGGCGAGGCCGCGGCCGGTGAAAGAGGACACATCTGCCCGCCCCTTAACCCTTCCTGCCACAAGTCCGTCCGGTAAGTCTGCCGACAATATCCCGTCGGAAGGTCGTGAGCCTTCGGAGTTGAATCTTCATCCGACACGGCTCTTCACCTGCAGCGGCATCCTCGACTACGTACTCGGACAAATATTTCTCGGTCTTGTACTCAGTAGATCCATCGTGTACTCAATCCGTCGCCTCTCGACAGACGGACACGCACTCCCCCGTCCCGCTCTCCGACAAGCGCCATGCAAAAGATCGTTCGCGAGGCGCCGGGAGGTAAGACAGTCCTCAGGCCGGCCGGCCGGCCGGGGAAATGCGGGACGGGACGTCGGGATGTGGACAACATCCGGGCGGCGAGGGGAGTGAGTGCTGCGGATGCAGATGTGGGGGTGTCAGTTAGTTAGTCGGTCAGAGGTGACGGCATTTCATTATTGTCGTTAGGGTATGGGAGGAGAGCACGTCAGGGCGAAACGAAAATACGGCTTGAGGGAAGGAGCGGGGTGATCCGAGCAGAGGGCTCCGAACGTGCGTCTAGATTCTGGACATGCGTTGCGTTCTGATGCGAAGCTGGTGCTCCAGGCGCTATTACTATTAATAGGCGAGCGAGAGGAGGTGCTGCCCCATCCACTCTGCAGGCGTCCGTCGGATCATGCGTCGATCCGCAGGTGGGTTTTTGCCCCCGGGTCCGAAGCGCCAACGACATGCGTGACGTTTACATTCCCCGTTGGGCTGAGCTTCGCGGGCTCGTGAATCCCAAGTGACAAAGATCAGATTAGATAAAACGAGCCCCCGGGGGGGAACTTACGGGAGCGTCGAAGGCAAATGCGAAGTGTCGTTTTCCCGCTCTTCGAGCGACCGCCTCGGCCGGTCCTCGTGCTCTGACCTCAGGGTTCGGCCGGTCGTTTGTCAGAGACGGGAGCTCCCGTCGTGACGAGCAGCGCGGTCACGTCGAGCGGGAGCAGGAGCAGGAGCATGAGCATGAGATGACTTGGCATTGATTGTCCACATGGAGCACGTATTAATGGGAAACATTATCTATTCTTCCTCGATCAGGCACGTAGGAAAGTGGGCATCTAGTGCTTGCATTTCACCGATACATAATGCTCAGTACAGTCAGTACTTACAGTTTACAAGCGAGGAACTAAAATGATTAGTATCATACCAAGTTCTCATATTCTAGTCCTTCTGAACGTCGGAGCAGATACACAATTATGCAGAGTACCATAAAAGTGGGGCAAAAATGATAAACTAGTGATTTGCGAGTACTAGCTCTATTAGTGGGCCTAGGCTAGATCCAATATTCGGCTCTTTCTACTCAATGACGAGTCCTTGTGATGCTAAAGGCGAAGAGGATCCTAAGAAGTAAAGTAAAGAGAGAGGGGAAGAACTGAAATCATTGAGCATAAACGTCAAGATAGAACGTGCACTATTAACCACAATATTCTCATCATTTTAACCGTATTAGTACTGTCCACCAACTTTAGGGGGAGGGACAAACTCTACTCTACAAGAGAAGGAGAGAGAGGGATTAGAAAGTGCCACAAAGCGTAGTACAAAAGCAAGGGCACAACATATTGTCTGCAGACAAATTTACGGTTGTTTCAGAGCTCTAAAGCTTCACTCAGTCAGAGCAGAGGTACAATAGAAGTTTGGGTTTGAGGATCGTACGTGCTCCAACAGAGTAGAGTCCAGTCCAGTCCAGTCCAGTTCAGTTTATGGCAGCGGCAAAGGGCACAAAAAGGAGAGGGGAGGGTGGCAGTAACGGAAGAAGAGTAAGAGATGAGCATGTTGCCAACGTGAGCGAGAGAGTGGTTAAGGACGCCGGGACCCGTAAACAGAATTCGTGTAGGCACCTCCAGCAATTCTCTAGGGCTCACTCATTCGCCGGGCATGACTACTGCACATGACCATGCCGCCGACCGACGTTACTGCGTTCCACCACACCATTCAATACACAGCCACCGATTCATCATGAAAATGAACAGCCATTCGCTGATCGAGACAAGACGCTGTTCCTCAGCTTTTCCGACCAGACACACCAAACTGGTGAGCTAGTGAGCGAGCGAGTAAGAAAGTAAGTAAGTCGGTCCTCCTTCTTGCCCTCTTCAGCTCATACACAAGGTGACACCTCAGAGATAGGCCAAACCCATAGCAACAAACCTTGGCCCCAGTCCTCTCACCACCTCACTCACAACCAATACAAGTAACAGTTCCGGAAGTTTGGGACCCATCCCCCTTGGACGCCTGTGCGTGAAGAACCTCTCCATGGTGTACTAAGGACAGCCCTGATTGTTCTGGCTGTTTTGGCTTGGTGTTTCTTCCACAGGAGATCTGAACATCAAGTACATGGTGTGGGATGAGATGGCCGAAACTGGCTGCCAAAGATGGAGAGGTAGACCTCGGAAGACGAAACTGAAATTGCATCGGGTGTACCATCATCAGTTGTCATTTGCTGCTCAAGGGAGGGAGGGAGGGAGGGAGGGAGTCCCAAAACACTTACCAACCTTGGAGGGACTCAGATTCTCAGTAACAGAAGAATAGTAGCTGTTGTTGGCTACTGCTGCTACTCCTGGGCCGATGTTCCGTTTGGGAGGAGATTCCTCCTGGATGGTGGCTGACATGACTGTGCTTCCTCATGGCATCATCATCACCAACGAGCTGAACATCATCTTTCTCGTCTCGTCCCGTCTCGTTTCGTCAACGTAGGGTATAACATTACATATCCCCGATAAAAGCATACAAAACTAGCGAGCGCTCGTGTCCGTCCTCGTCGTCCAGCAAGTGGGATTCCGATTCTCTCTGTGCCGCAGTCTTCTAAAGGAACAAACAGAAAGAGCACCAGCACGTCGCGTCCAGGCTGGGTAGCCATCAGACTGTAGAGAGAACCTCCGTAGGAGTTTCTGTTGTTCCCCGAGGTGCTTCTAATCTGAACCTCATCTGGCCTGGATTTCTGTCACGTGCATCATCACCGCCTCGCCTATGTTCGCATGCAGTAGCCTCCTCAGTTTACTGAATTACATAACTCATGCGCAACCTCCGGTAGGACAAGATTCAATGTGACTTTTAGTCACAGAATGACCGAGCTTTAGATTCGAACTCACATATCAGCGCGGCGAGAGGGAATCTTCGAACAAAGGACTCCGAGCCGGCGTGTTTTTCTTCTCAACCTAGCATAGGGGTGAAGCATAGGGGCCCTTGCATAAGTGTGACGAGGCTACATTTGCATACTAGGCATCCGGAGTGATTCCTCGTTATCGTTCATGTAAACTTCTGAGATCTTGTCCACGTCGTTCACTTTCAGACTAGAGAAGACATCTACTTCGTTTGAAAGAATTGAGCTGGGACACATTCTTCCACTTGCCATCCACATGCGGCTTGCCAATAAACTAAGCTGGTCTCCACTGAGACGGTTTCTACAGATTCCAAAAGATTGTGACCTTGCTATGGGAAGAAAAAACATACTTTAATCAGAAGAAAGTAAATTAGGTACATCTTACAGAAGAGTCACCCACCCTCGGCAATGCCCCAATGAGTGGCCTGTGCAGCGTTTAAAAGGACGATCCTTACGGGTCTCAAGGCTACATCCGATTGGGGCATCTGCCGATCTGCGAGAACTATTCGGAAACTGAATGTCATGACGGATGGTGCTATTCTACAAGACTTCGATTTAGTCTCTGTCTCGTGTATTCCCAGACAGCGATTGCCCCACTTACATGGACATTCAAAGAGCGGATGACTCCGAGCTGTGGGATCTCCACACATGTGTCAAGCGCCTGAATTATATCAACCGGTATTCCGTCTGATTCTCGTCCCAGGACTAAAACCTGCAGCAATGAGATTGTCCAGTTAGCTCGACTAGGAGACCTGAGCCAGGGACTGCACGGAACCTCGCTGTGGAAACTCAAACTATCGATAACAGAAAGACAATCTGGTGTTGAGTGACCGAATCAGAGCGGTGTTCCACCTATTTCAAGAGCCGCAAAGGATAGACTACTCTTTGGCAGGTTGGACAGGACTGTCACATACATGCAGGACGGACGTCTCACTAAAAGAATTCACAGACTGTACGGGCAGCCAGGACAGTCTTAGGCTTCAATGACAAGGATATTTGTAAAGTAAAAGAACATTGGCAGTAAAAAACAGCACGAACCACTTTCTGAGGGAAAAGGTATTTGTCGATGGAGACACTGTTGGCGGTCTGTTCCAACCCCAATATGGAATAGCCTTCTCTCCTTTTGCGCTTCAAATAATTGCTGATTCCTGCTTCCGGAACCTCGACTACTGGAATCCACTGTTCCGCAGTCACGCTGGAGCCACACCCAACATTCCAATCAAGCAGCCAATATCCATCCATTAATCTGGGAATAGGGGACGACCTGTATGGCGTGAGATCCAATACTGGCGTTTCCGATTTAGCTTAACATGGATGAGAGGACATGTGTCAGACCTGTTGCGTTTTCAGTTTCAAATCAACATCAAACTAGCGCCCTTTCACTTCACTCCAAGAAAACATCCAACCTTCGAGATTAACTTGAAAGGTTGAATTTTCCTTGTCTGCTAAGATCCTACCTATTGGAAGATAGATTTCGACTCATTCGCATAGTCTTTTCTGCGTTCTCAGGAAGTTTCCGGCAGCATGAGTATCAAGGAAAACTATTATCTTTAGGAAAAGCCAAATAGACCCCACCCTTATCTTCCAACCAGAAAATTCTACATCACCCAGGTCTATGACTTTCTGGCACATGTGCGCAGTACTACCTCCCCATATGTACGCCATTGTAATCTTACTTATCTGCTGGTTCATGCATCGTATATAAATAAAACTTCTCCCCCTTCGCAGGATTAGAGGGAGAGCCTAAAGGCTATTCTGCGTGCTTAGAGCTACTCGCAACACAGAAACACGACAACAAGAATCACTGATCACTGCATTACGTGCACCTTATATGCAAGAATTCCGTACTATTTACATTATAGGTCTCATATCCAGCAAAAGGAAACAAATATACTTTTCCCACCTGATAAGCTGAAATTGTCTGTCTTCTGCGATTGAGGCATCTGCTACAACTAAGCATGATGCTTTGAATACCTGGGGAATAGACGAGACATATGAGTCTCAACATGAACATGAAAGTAACTTAGGCCAGTATGATAATCCGTAAGATCAAAGCCAACCAACATGTGTACAGTAGTCAAATGAATGCGCAACTTGAAGCAGCCAGCGATGATTCACATTTTAAATATCCACTGGCCTTTATTGGATACTTTCACAGTTAAACAATTTTTGACTGGTTCAGAACTTACTTCGCATGTACGAGCGAGGCCGGCAAGATTCGGCACACTTCCAACTAGAGAAGCTACGACAATCAAATCCTGTCGACCACCACGCATTCGAATCAACTCCTTCGCTCTTGATTCTATGCTTTCAAGAAGCAGCTCGGCTTCAGCATCATATCCTGCACCATATGACCAATTCATTACGAAAACTGTTCTCTAATCTGTACGGAAAAGACCTGCGCTGCTAAATTTCTCTAATCGATTTCTGTAAAAGTAACCTCGAGTGGTATCCAGCTACAAAGACCGAATTAGTGGGCATTGATGATTTAAAGTTCCAGGGTCAGAATTTTGTTATGCTTTTAAGCAGACCAGATGATGAAGATGATGAAGAATAAAACAAACCTGCCACAGTTGAGGTTTTGACATTCGTCTCCCCAGTATGAGAATCGCTGAATCTCAACGATGCTATCTTTTTCTGAATATCTAACTTTCCCAAACTCAAAACATCGGTAGAAGCATCTCGTGTTGTTGTACTTGCACCATCATCGAATTGACCTCCAGCTTTTCCACCAGATCTGACTTCAACAGATTCCGAGACATATTCTCTTCCGTTCTCGCGAGAGATATTCTCTTCAATCGTGAGTGCCACATTGTCTGCAGCCATCGACTCTCGTAGCTCGTCTCTTGCTTCCTGAGTAGGTATAGTGCACAGGAGAACTTCAACATTTGCTACTTAACAATATGTATGCAAGATGCACGTGTCTAAGGTAATATATCATCATCAAGGGATGTAGTCTGGCTTTCCTGCAGTCCACCAAATTCTATAGGAAAAACTTTCAGTCTTCAGAATAGTGCAGCTGGCATGCACGTCCAGCACTTATGTCGTAAGCTAGGAGCAGGAATCTATGAAAGGGCTGCCCTTATTGAGTCCTGCTGGCGGTGTCCACTAACATTTTCCACCAAAGTACCCTCAAGGCAAAAAGTAGTAAGTGGGAAATGCTTGCGACGATCATGATTAGCATCCTCTTTTCATGCAGCAGTTTGACTTAAATGGTTACTCTCATAGTTAAACCACGATACTTAATGGAGTTCCATAATTTCTCGTGAAACATTTAGAAGACATCATCATCTAGAAGATATAAGAATCTAATCAATAAATCGTATATTTAAACTGTTTGGAATCTGCATATCCTTCTATTTTTCGTTAGTAATGCTACATTCACAAAAACGTAATGAGTCTCTTTTGTGATACTCACATTCAGAAATAGGGCTACTTGATCCAAAACAGCGACTGGTGCACACTCAAATGGGTGGTCCTCTGCACTCTACAAAATTCAAACAATGTACCCGTCAGAAACCAATGACATTCGTTTTATTCACTACTATGAGTAATCCAGTGTCCTATCCTACATAAAGCGTTGCACTACGGAGGAATCATCCCCTCCAACGAGAGACAAGTGTGCATGTCTTGCAGAAACTTTATCCTGTAAAGGATACAAAAAACTGCCTCACCTTTGTGGTATCCACCTCTCCAAATCTACTGCAAAATATTCCTCTCGGTGTGGTGGATGAAAAAGGATCATATGCATCCAAGTGCTTCTCTACGAACGTTCTCATTCTACAAAAACAGAGTTGGAACTGTGTTACATTTCTTACAATAAAAAGTTCTCAAACTAATCATAGTCTGGAAAATAACCTTGATGACCGATATCTCCAGAGACCTATGACCTTGTACAACGAAATCTCTAGATTACCTTACTCGCTAAACTAGCATACCTTGTACAATCAACATTTCCCTCGAGATAGGCGGCGACGGAGCGCAAACAAAGCTCGTCGTCGTTGCAGTTTGAGGATACAGTGCTAGTCAGGAATTGACGAAGTATGCGAAAAATTAGTACCTGCAATGAAATAACATCCAATCATGTAAATCTGAACCCTTACTCATTATCTTCAAGACAATTTCGGTACCTCATATCTAAAGTTATTTCATTGTCATTCTGACCTGGGTGTCAAGGGTTTCTAGCAACAACAAAGCGTAATACACACGAATCCAAAAGCTGTTCAGGAGCCTTACACAACCTGCGTAAAACTGCGAAGATTGTGGTGATGACTGGTCATGAAGGGTAAAATAGCCGGAAGAACTTGCCGCATCAGTTCCTTTTGACGTGATACAGGAGTACCCTTAAGAACATTTGTTGCAATCAACACGTAGGACGAGAGTGCCTGCGCAGAGAAAAAATAAAATGAATAAGCTAACTGAGGACATATGAAGTAATAAAATATTCAATACGAAATGTCTCAACTGTTTTAATCCGACGAAGATAAGTGACAGGAAAAGACAATGATGTGTACTTAGGAGCCTTTTGGTGGGACGACTGTTCCTGGAGTTCATTCAACACATGATAGAATGAATACAGAGAAAACACTACAGCATGCACAGCTGGTAAGCAAACTATACGTCATGAGGTGCGTCCCAAGGTTGTCATGATAGATCTGTATGACATGCCTGCTGTGGTGATGTAGTTGTTACTCTCAGAGCAGATTATATGTTTCTTTGTGTATTACTTATCAACAAGGAAATGTGAAGAGTAAACATTCGTTACAGCTGTCAGCCATGGGCCAGCTCAAGATTAGGATGTTTTATTAGCACCTCGAGTTCAATTTTAATCAAGAACTTTATATACATATATGCTAGAACATTTCAGTCCCTCCACGTAATGATCACATCTTTGAGTGCTAGATTGCTGACATTTGGGGGTCGAACTAGCAGACTAGCTGAAATTTGAGTTGATCCAATTCCCGTGTAGGGGATGCTATCAAGAGTCAGATCTTAGTGTTGCTCTTCATAGCCCACCTGACACCTGAGGGTAAAGGGGACTGTCAACAAGCTACGCTTAATCCACGAGACTCGATTGGAGCACCAGGCTCTCCTGGTAATACATAATGATCAACTCATGCAACAGAGTTCAGATTTCAAAATGGAGATAATCACGTCTACTGCTATTTAACACAAAAGAGTCCCTGAATTTTCAACAAGGAGAGCTCGCAAGGATATATAAATGCATGTGAATAAGACGTTTTCTATTCGACTATTCGCTTTAGAAAAAGCCAACCGCTTTCCGGGGAGCAAAACCCCTTTGATCCATTAATTCATGACACCCTTGTGGTGTCGAAGTATATGGCTAGTAACCCCAGTAATCAGCTACTGTCATTGCTCATAAAGTCAGGCTCCAAACTTCAAATATAAAATCTCCCTAGTCAAACAGACAGATTGAATGAAGACCTTTATATGGAAGTATCTAGACTGGAGTCAGTCACTTGAGAAACTACGAACGAAGAAAAGAGGGAAATACCTGGGTTTTCATGTTGTAATCGTGAAGAGCAAGAATCAAATGCTCCTCAATCTAGCAAAATCACCCAACCACCCGATGCATGAGAATGGAATCAAATCAAGGTACTAATGGCTACGCAAGGTGTAACATATGGCTACACCCTACCTTATGTTCAAAATGATGACATTTGATTTGAATAATCTACGCTGCAAACCGGTGAGTAAATGAATGGTGTTCTTGCAGAAGGGTGGTCCAGGTGAGGGCAAACCAATTCAGGAAATCGTAGAAATAATTGAGCTGCAAACGACTCAATGTACTGGCGTACAGATGGCATGTTGTTCCTCTGGCACATGAAAGCCACAAGTCAATCCAAAGCAAACAGCGTTCGTCAATGAGCAAGACATAGAAAGACGGAAAGTTCCTATTTCAGCTGGCCACTCACATGAAGACATTTTTTCAGCAGAGTTGTCAATCGAGCTAAATCTTCTCGGCAAAGGAAAGGAGTGAGAATGCAAAGCATTTGCCACACTCTCACTTTCCGTCTGTGAATCTGCAGGAACATAATCCATTAGTCAGAATCATGCAACGAGTTCGGTACACATCTTGTTCATGATCTGTAGAGATCAAGCACAAGAAAGAGATGGTCAGAGATATCTAGTAGAATATATGAAGCTGGATACGGCAGGCACAGAAGCAAAAGGCGGGCTGCAAACAGTAAAGAATCACAACCAAGATAAAGAAAGTCTGATATAGTGATCGACAAACAAATTTCACTTACAGCGCTCTTCTTTTTGTACAGCTCTTTATTCAAATCAGTGTCGTCCGCCTGATCATGACGCATGTGAGTTCCAAAGTAAGATACAGAAGGAATATATGGGTACGATCACAATCCATCTTCGTATAACAGATTATATCCGATGACTCCATCAAATCTAACGAAACAGAAAAAAGGCTAGCTACCTGGAGAAGAATCACCTAGAAGCCAATTCTGAAAACTGCACTGTAGACAACTGACTTGCTACACCTGTACATTGCATAACGAATCATCTCATTCAAATCCAAATACACCCACGATAGTGATTTACCGCTGCAGTGAGAAGCTCGAAGAGGTACTTTTGTCCAAAAGTTCTGGCATGTTGTCTGACGAGAGGTCTTATCCCGATCGATTCCAGACCCGAGTTTTGGGCCATAAGAGAAAGCTTGTGAACCATAACAGCAACTGTAACTCGTACGAACATTTCAGAATTCGTAAACTCCTGCAAGGAGAAAGGCTTCTTCAGTGTAAAAAAACTTGGCTGCACCTGCTTAAATACAGTAAAACTTGTATGTTAGAAAAGAACCTCGGTAAGTTCCGGGTCAGAACTCTGGATGAGTGTTGCATATTCTCGCGCTGCCGTGTGGCTCTCCAGAATTTCTCCATCTAGCTCCTCGTCCACAGCTTCTGCAACATCGATAGCTAAGGCTTAGCTGTTATTCGCAATATCGAACGCAACGCCTGTATTCATTACAAGAATACAGATCTAGTGCCGATTGATTCCAGTAAATACCACATACTTCCATTACGTAAGAATGACTAAAATTAAATCTCTTCAGCGGGCTAGAACTTGAGCAGCAATTTGAATGAGGGTTTAGGATCCGAACAGTCATATCCGTGGACAATGACTAACAGGTGCGGCCAAAAGGATTGGGAAGATAGATTAACATGGTCAGAACTGATGGACATTGCTGACAAAATACTTCAGAAAGGCCTAGTTGCTCCTCAATGCAAGTTGATGAGGCTTGATTTTAGATGAAGTGTAATAAAAATTAAACCACAAGGCGGATCCAGAAGTATAATAGTTTGGTTCTCCGGTGTGCACATTACAAGTAAGTTGAACGTTAAAGAGGCATTTACCTCCGCCGTAAAGAGAGAACTTTTTCAGTTCTTGCATGTAGAAAGTTGTTGTTTCCGGAAACAATAACCACAGGCCCGTAAGGTGCAGCGCAGTTAAACGCATTGTGCGGGGACTCCGAGATCCCTGGTCTATTAAACGATTCAAAAGCTGCAATAAGAACACCCTAGTAAGCTTAACCTCTTACTCGTTCAAATCTTCCTTCTAGACGGCTTTAAGGAAGTTCAAAGTTTGGTAACAAGTCAAAATCAGAAGTACAGAGTAATAGGATATACATACCCACTTCAATGGTCCATACTCTTCATGATCTTCTGGAGAACCATGCATTCCCAGATCACAAAAGATTACTGGATTAAAAATTGCTGAAAGAAAGGCTGCTGTTGGAGCAACTCTTCTCTTGTTACAGTCAACCATTGCGGACCATCCGGCTTGTACCAAAGCCCACATTGCCTGTAGAGGAATGTCCCCAGTCAGCTTGCTCAACCAAAGAAAAGTCTGGATATCAAATGAAAACCTGTTCTAAAACTTGTTTAAGTCACTAGCACATACAAAGCAGCAACGTGACAAGGATAGACCTCCAAGGCAATCCGTGTATATAAAAACCCATTGACAAAATCGATGCTAATTAGTTCCTGTCCCAATGAGACTCAGATATTAGACGTTCTTGACTTCAGATGTACAACGACTAGCAACTTGAAGCTCCCATGAGTCTGTGATATAAGTTCTAGCAAGTGTGACTAATAAGTATCAAACTATAAACCGACCGTAAAGCTTTATAGAGAACATGTCGCTTTACCCGCAACCTGAGAAGTGTTTTCGGGAGAAAATAAAGAAAATAGTTGAAAAAGGTATTTCCAGACAACAAACCATTCTAACCTGATACTTGTTATCCTCGTCTTCGTCTGCTTCCATGTTAGTTAGCACTTCCCATTTCATCAACCACCTTATCGATCGAAGAAGAGGCAGAAGATATTCCTCGCCTGCACTCTCCAAGCTTCAGGACAAACCTGGGTAAGGATTAAAATTGCAGCATTTTGGAATACATTTACAGGTGATGAGCGGTCAACACAGTTGGAATAAGTTTGGTTTTACGCGATAATTAAATTCAGTTTCTACCTCTCAATGCAGTCCTTGAAAAGCCCTCCAAGGGTCGAGCTGGAAAAGGCACTTGACAATTTCTCCTCCCCGCGAAACAGTCGATGACCTGAAAGAGACTGTTTCGTGATCGACAGGAGAGTGTCCACGGAAGACCACTGGAGAGCATGAAAGAAACAGAGTTCAGACCTTGGGTGACATGCTGGGAATGCAGGCACGATTGATCTGAATCTTTGAGATGTCAGCAACACGCGGTAATCAAGAGCGTAACGGGGGAAAGATCACTGAACCTATGTAGAGACGTTTTAAAAGCAACAAACTAGTCCAAAGATAGACACAATGACAAGATCGAACCCAAATCGTAGAGTTGGTTTCTAGAAGCTTCTGAAGATAACCAACGAGTAAGAATTAAAAGCAAACCAGCTCATTTCTTTCCAAGCACCTTTGCTATCCTTAGGAGTTGTAAGCGAGAAATTTCCTGCCGACCAACTTTAGCACTTATGATGGTTTGGAGTCTCAAAAAACAATACACAAGTCTTCTGAACATGCGGGGCCGTGACGACTAGCATAAAAAATGGCTGATATTGGTACAGAGAAGAAAGAAGTTGCAGCATTTTGAGGCTAATCTAATGCTATTGCTACATAGACTGACCTTGCACCCATATAGAATAGCTCGGCGACTTCTACCAAGTGCACCAACAAATGCTGAGTCCTCTACGTTTTTCACGAGGGCATTGAGTAAGCCATCAGCCATCTTATCCGGCGTGTCTGGTAAAAACGCTCCAGTTTTACTCTCAAACTTCATTGATGCATGCGCTGCAGTGGTAAAGAATTGAGTGGCTGTCTCCGCCAGTGCGCTACATGCACATGTGAACGCTTCAAGAGCGGCAAGTTGAAGTTCGGCGGCAACCTGAACAGCACTGTACTTGTTTAGACATCCGAGTGCATGTCAGATAATCATCTTGAGAGAAAGAAGAAGAAGCAACAATCCAGGTTGAAACATTCCGACTCTTGAGTATTGAGTTTTCCTCGTATTGATGACACAAGAGGCCAACATGTTTCAGATCAAGTCGAGTCCGGGAAGCAGTTAGCGTATTTTTTTGGAATGTGATTAGACAAGACTTTCATGTGAAACGCTCAAAAAAAAGTAAATTCGAAACGTCCAAACTTCTGTGAAACTCAACAGAAGTATTGCAATACGTTAACTATGCCTCAAATGTTCTCACGGCATACGCAGAATATCTTTGACAATTGCAAAAAAGTTTTCGACTTGCAATATGTAAAAAAAAATTGATTCTCTCAGGTAAGTCCAAAACTTACTCTGGGCTTAAATCCACTTGGACTAACACTTGAGCTGTAAGACTGTGACCCTTAGGTATCAATAATCATACGGCACCTGTGTGCACTTGACTTTCGACTAAATCTAACTTTTGAATTCTGAGAAAAATTCTGATGAAGAATCTAGCCCTCAACTCACCCGTAACCCACAGAACTTAGAACGACACAGTGTAAACTAGTGCCAAGATGTTGAACAATAGGGCACGTAATACCCTTCTACACTTTGACTGCCAACCTTATCTCATTTTGAAATGTAACTGGACTTGGTTGTCTGAAGTTAGTCCAAACCTTGCTTGGGGTTAAAAGAGGTTAATTCTCGCATCCAAGGTACTGTTGTCATGACGACAGGAGAAAAGAGGCATCCTGAAAGTACCCATCCGAATTTCAAAACCTTTTGAGCACACAATCACCACGTTAATTCTAGGGTTCACAACACAACAAACGAGAAGTGGCTATAATGATAGGCATACAGCTTCTTTCGACATTGTAAAGGTCTGAGAATATAATACAGCTACCTCATCCATGATCCTCGGCGTAGTCACTACTTCCCAGGCGAACTCCCACAGACATGTTACCACAGATTCAGGTATGTGACTTAGAAGGCCCACCCGGGAGCACCAAAGACAACAGTCGGCAAGAGCCGAGATGGAGAGCACCTACATCCAGCGGAGTGAGGACTAGTTAGACTTGTGAATAGTTGGTTCTTTCGTTAGCTTTTCCATATAAAGAAAGAGCAAGATAACTGCACTGCTATAAATCTTAATGACTTATGACATAAACAGTCAAGGACTTACCTCAAACACCAGTCATTGCCATGCAGAAGCTTCGAAAATTGCACATAGCACTTACAGAAACACGTCAATAAAAAACGAATATTTGAAGGGATGATCAAGCGCTTGCACATACCCCTTGCAGGACTGCGGAAGTGAGATGGGATGGGAGACGGCGTTGGCTTCGGCCACCTAGTTTCCCACTAACGGCAGCCGGTAATGTGATCAACCCACGGGGTCCATGCTCCCAGAAAGCTACAGACGACCTTCTTGCATAGCTTCTTACCTCATCCTAAAAACATCCAAATGATCCAAACTGAGTGTACTTGCAGAGCGAGCAGCTGAGTTCAAATTTTAATATAAAATAAATTTCACTTTAAAACGGCTCGTAACCACCGGTAAAATGTTTGAACTCATCCTAGATCAAACAGGGCAAAGTTCACAACCTAGAGGCAGTAGCCCTTTATGATTATTGGGTTACCATGATAGCCAGGACCATGTCTGAGATTCTTTTGTCTCCTGGTCTCAGAGACATCGTGCAACTGTCAGCGTCTGATTGGATGATAGAATCTTCACAAGCATCTAGTAAAGGTGTGAACTCCTTTAGAAGGCTCCGTAGAAGGAGTAATACTCTCTCAGGCGTACACGCCGACATGTAAGCGTGACTGTAGATTTGAGAAGCTTTTTTGTGTATCATCTGCTCAGCCAATACAAGAAATTGTTATCGAACTTCGACCATGAGAAGAACAGACTGTTTAACTCCTGAAACTGTGCTTTAGTGGCAGACGGGGCAATTTACTGTAAATACTTCACTGGCTATGCTGGAGTGACGACTGCAATCTTTTACTACAGTTTGATTTCTCTTTTAGCATGTGGTATTCAGATTGAAGGCTTGGCATGCTTTCATACTGTATGCAAATCATAGCTCTTTGGAAAATCAATCACGAACTTCGTCACACTGAAGACATGCGATTCTCCACTTCAGGAAGGAGCCAAAATGCTCGTCTTTTAAGAAGCAACAAGAATATCTGACTCCACTTGACCTTTCTCCACTCTTACATTGAAGTGTTGGCAGGTTAACCATTTACTTAAGAACATTTAGAAGTAGCACATATAATGATAACTGACAGAGGCCATTATAAAAGGTCACATGAGTTTCAGCAGAAGGCGTACCGTAATAACATGCTGACAGTCGATACCCGTCAACAAACTGAGAGATAACAGTCTTGTCCATCTGTCAGCTTCCAGTCTCCACGCCTCAACATCTTCATCTGTGGCAGCAGAGGAAAAAATTCCTGGTAGTTTCAAAAATGTTTCGGCCATTTCATTGAGGCCTTCAACAATCCACAAGTTGATCTCTGCGGCAGAGGCAGTGGCACTCTCCGTCCCCGCAGCTTGAATCCAGGACATTAAGACATGATGTAAAGAACCTACAAACCCAATAAACTTTGTCAACCCTACAATCACGCATACAATCTGAACATCCGAAATCCCAAATCGGACACCTAACTACCTCATCTAAACTCAGCAAAAAAAATAACTTGACTTGACAGCCATGTTGAGAGTTGGTTTATCAAAACCCACATATGAAATTTCATAGTGAACCTCACAACTGGAAACAAAGTAAATAGCAAAAACCCATTGGGTGTACAACGGAAGCATTGGCTTGAAGAAAAACATGACATGAATTCATATTTAACAGCCCTTACCACCAAGAATCATGTGCTCTTTAGGAAAGGATGATAAAAAGTAGGCGAATTTGCTGAATGGAACCTTTGGAAGAGCAACCAGGGCACAAGCCGCTCGCAACACATGACCGCACACTGCAAAAGTTCAAAACATGTTAATCCCAACTAGTATATAAAATGTAACTTCACGCAGGCTCCTAAAGTCGTACTGAACAGATAACCTAAGAAGAAAATATATGAACATCATAAACGTTGAAGCTGTACAAGTACATAGAATAAAAAAACAGATGCTAAACAAAGATGGAAAACTGCACTAGTTGTTGGACATGTCACGGATAGATTGAGATTATTGTATTTGAAACCAATTTGAAATCAGTGCGGATCTCGAGACATAAATGAATTCTAGCAACACAGAAATACTTTTTATAACCAGTCACATGACAAACATGCTCGGATACTGAGCATTAAAAGATCCAGGGACATGCTGGCTCGACGACATGAAAACTGTGACAAGCAAATTCTGGTCTAAAACACGTATAACAAACTTTCCTTCATAAACTTAAGACGAATGAACTTCCTTCTAAATCCAAGCATATGAAATAAAACGTCATCAACCGCAAGGGATTAAAAAAGGGAAGAGACTGAAAGACACAGACCCGGGAGTTACAACCATAGGGGCTCGTTTTAAGACATGGTCCGAGGAACTGCAATTATTAGGCAAGTAGAACGCGATTACGTGAAACATGACAAAAAAAACATGGCATGACATTTAATCTGAAGAAGAAGGCGGAAATCTACGGCCGGTATGCGTAGAGTATTCAAAACAGATTTAGTATGTGAGCTGAAGCAAGGGGAAGAAGGCAGCAACGAAACCGAGGGAGAAAGTGTAAGAGAAGTAACGGAACAAAACATGGTTAGAGGAACAAGGAGTGCATCCACTCTACATTCAAGGATGGACAGAACTCAGCAGCAGTTTGACCAAAGAAATCAAGCAGCAACTAGATATAGACTCCTCTATACAACCTCTGTTGCACATTAGCAGCCATGATGACGTAATGCCAGACATTGCTACCCTGAGTGGATCAGAAGAATCTGAGACATATCATTGTAAAACATTACGTTAAGTCCGTCCATCACAAGCGTGACATGATTAACTCTACGTGTATCAATACCTAAACAACAGAAACCAGAACTGCATGCTACGTCACAACAACAGTTAATGTTGTTCATAAAGAGAATTCTATGATATTCTACAACAGCAGGAGGAAATATTGGGTACGTTGTAAATCAGCACAGAAATCACCTCTTCATTCCCCATTTCTATCAATGGAAACCAGATAATTAGGTCTCAAGAAAATAAGTTTGACATTTATTCTACAAAAACGACTTCAAATCACTGGTTACAGAGAGAAACGTAACCTTTCAACACGAGATGAAAAGATAGTAACATGAGTCCAACAATAACCAGAAGATTAGGGAATGAAAATGCAGAGAATAACAAGACCATAGTTACATGCAAACCAGAAACAAAAGAAAGGGAAGGAAAGCAAAGAACGAAGAGTTCAAAACTCAAACTGCAAGCACGCAAACCTACTGTGGACTGTAACCTACATCAAGTCTAATTTCAGGAGAACGAGTGCGGTATGGACTAATCTGTCTATAAGTTCAGGTGTTCGGTAACTATCAACATAAACTATGTAAAGTGCTAGATAATCAAGGCAACCCCGCTCACCATGCACTCAGCTTATTGTAAAGGTAACGTGACTCCAGTGAAACCTAGGGTCTTTATAAACCACCACCCAGACTTTTTCATGAAAATACTTTGCAAATAGAGAGAGAAGAATTATTACGATCCCTCGCCACAAACCTCGTGTTCATTAAAAAATATTAAATTCTTCACGCCCAGGGCGGCTGTAGATCAAGCGGACATGGAAGGAACCTAGAAATTTGACTGATATGTTTTACGGACCTTTCGCTCGATAATTGGGATTAAAATGGTGCTTGCTTATCTCTGCCATATTTCTCAAAAGGTCCAGCAAGCACGCAGGATCTTCATCACTCTGAAGATTCCCCGCGTCACTGGCTGACAAGATTTGCTCCTTCGAGACATTTGGTAAAGAAACTATCCCTGACGTAAATCCCAGTGCCGATGCTTCCAAGCATATAGCGTGAGTCATGAGACCCGCACGACCTCGATGCCTATCAAGGACAGCATTCGCCAATTTGATGACAAACCTTGCACGTCTCCTGTAAAACCTGATGTTAGGGACTGCGCTGAGCTTTTGCAGCATGTCAAACTCACAATATTGTACAAAGAGAGAATAGACCAGTGCCAACTTCGGAAATAGACATGGAGAAGTAAATCTTCGTAAAACGGTCTCGAGTCGAAAAAGTCACCTCCGGGTCAATGATGAACTGTAGGCTCTCATGACATTGGCTGCTCCTTCAGCGGTTATAGACGAGTAGTTACCTTTCATACCTGCCCATTCAACAAGTCGCATCAGTGACCGGAAAAGCCTATGTGAGAAGATAATTATCATGCCCGGACAACCCAATGCGAAGTCAATACTTGAGCCTATATAAACAATATTGTTCACACTCGGAATATATGCTGTTAGAAACTGCAGATACGAGGGCTGAAGGAGTCCTACAAACTACGAAATTGTAAAGGGTTCACATGGACCAAACTCAGTACATGGGCTACCATTGCAGAGGAGCCGGAAAAATGTAATCACCGAGCTCTAATTCCTTGACCCAGCTATGAAGGTATTTCATTATATGGCACATACACGATTGGGAACACCAACTCCATAAGATGGAAGTGCAACTATACAAAAGACATCCAAGACATACCAAAATCTCGGTGATGTACTGGGTCATCCAGTGCCTCCAAATATGGACCCAACAGTACATTTTCAGGTAACAATAGAGAAAGCTTTCGGATTTTTTCCCACTTGATATCGAGGAAAGACTGCATCACCAGCCGCCTTACTGGATACGGACAAAAGAAGACCACACGGGGTAACACAAAAGTGAGAATGTTAGATAACTCATGAAAACTAATATTTGCGTCCAAAGCCGATATCATTCTTTTGAATGAGAGCCACTCCTTTCTGTGCAGTATGGCAGAGTGCTACTACGATTGCAACCCCTTTTCAAGACCTCTTCCAAGAGCAGCACGCGCAAACAATTCCACGACATAAGCGATACAAACAAGAAAGTGTTTCTTTGAACATTCTAAGGAGCATTTAACATCTAACTTGTTTCCACTCGAGACTGGAAGCCATGTTCAAAGACAAACTTGAAGATTACCTTGAGGATTCTTGTGATCGAACCCACGTTGCCAAAGAACAGAAATCCACATAAAGTTCACATCTATGTCGCAAGTTTTCTTCTGCGTCCAGTTCCCAGCCCAGTAAGGGCTGGCATCATTGGACTCACCTTTCAAGTTTGTGAACTGCAGCAAAAAAGACATCTGCAACCATGATAGCATCTCGTAAGCCGTGACACGTGCAAGAGTTCCAAAAATATTACTAAGGAACCTAGCGTTCAAACTTATTCTTAGACTACCTGCAAAGATGCATGGATAGCTGTGATTATACGAATCACCGTTACCTAAACCCCACAAGCTATACTGAAGTTTAGATCTCGCCGTTATCTTGTAAAAAACAACCACCCCTGCCATGTAGTATCAAATTCGAGTTTCGCGATACAAGGCCAAGTTTCCCATAAATGAGAGACTCATCCGCAATCGAGTATGTGTAGACTAGGAAATGGATACCACAGGACATGAAAACTTTACCTTGCTAAGAAGAACGAACTCGATAAAATTTCATTCTACTCAACTGGATTGTCATGCTGCTTCAACATACTCTTCCGATGTTTCATGTTGTAATGTTGTAATCGATACAAATGCTACTAGATACCAAAGCATATCTTTGATAAGGCCAAGAGTTTAGGGTAGAGAATAGGTAGGATCGAAGATGCGTTTGAAGATACCTGATGAGTCCATGCTGCTTCAACCAGATGGATACCATACTCTTCCAAGGTTTCATGGAGCAGTATGAAGGCATTCCACCTCTCTCGCCATCCATCGACCACGGTCAACTTGTCTTTGACAACTCCTACTCCTAAAAATCCAGCTTCCTTATCTGCCCACTTATTCCTTTTGCTGACCTTCTTGTCGTTTGGACCCATGCTTTTTCCAGAACCATTCATTTCGCGGGGCATCTCATGGAAATCACTGGTGGCACTGACAGGAGAAGAGTGAAGGCCAGTAAGTGCCTTCCGCAAAACAAAGAGGGCTCGTTTTCTCGTCAAGGAGTCATCGTCTCCCTATATCACACGCAGAAACAAAATAATCAAGCTAACATAATAACAATGAGCCAGAAGGACATGGAGGAGGAAAAACAAAACCATCAACGGAGGCACAATAGTGAATGCATACCAAAGTCCTTCTCCTGAGTGGATACCAAATACAGTGTATATGAGAATTCCCCCATACAAATGGACAGCCCTTCAAGTTTGAATACTAGAAGCTCACATAGGCTACACATAGGTCGCAAACTTTTCGTGCGAACAACTTTCCCCAGGTCATTCTATCTAACAGGAAAAGTCGCATAGGTCCTAAACGGCGAGCAAAACGAACAAATGAAAATTTGCGACTAAACTGGTCCACATATACTCGGAGAACGATATTTACAAAAAATGAGTTCATTACAGTACCAGGCCAGTCTTCAACTCTTCCCAAAATTGCACTTCATCTCGGATGTCAAAAGCTTTGACTTTGTCATCGTTGGATTCATCTCTTAAAGATTTACTCGTAACTGAAAGCGAGTCCGCAGGAAAAAGTAGGTCCGAAAAAGAGGCCAGGGCCATATACACATCTTGACGTTGAGAAGGTCCATGAGAGAGAAGAGACTGACAACAACGCCACACTTCCTGCAGCGAAGACTTCCTGTAATAAGATTAAATGATTAAAGTATTCTATAGGAAAGCAAATCGCTCTAAGCAACTACCTAGTACTTTATCAGCGGGGTAACGCGCAGTACAAGATAAGTAGAACTCGAGCCGCCACGAAGAAAGAATTGGTTGGCGAAAGATAGGCGATATGAATCCTATAGTAGCGAGGCAATCTCACCAAGTGAGAGGCTTGCACAAAAGAGACCAGATATGCTATCACAAGTGGCCTAGATGGCAGATAGGCAGATAGGCAGCTCAATAAAATTCACAACTTGTGAGCTTTCTGACAGGAACTTTTAAGCACGGCATACCTGGCCTCGACAGACCGCTCTTCTGTAAACACATCGTTTAACCACCCAAATCTGACAGAAGAGGTCAAAAGCGATGGTAACAGATTCTGCACGGCACAGTGACGCATGGAACCATCCAATGGTTGCGCTAGTAATGCCAAAGCTGGTTCTAGAAAGATTGCTACGATATCCTCGCAAAAGTTTTGAGCCGTATAGATGCGATCTCCATCAGCCTTAACCATGTTCTTTGTCGTAAGATCTAATCTACTGGATGCTTCCAACGCTGCTGCCATAAGGGTGCCCAACAGCTCACAGACGACATAGATGGAGAGTAATTCTTCCTTATGTTCTAGAGTCGACCCAAAGGAAACTAACTTATACTTCTTCTCTAAAGTTTGCCATGCTTGGTAGTCCGCTGTTTTGTGGGGTTGGTCTCGCGCAAACTCCGCATCTCTATGTAAGATAGGGTTCAGAGACTGCAGGCACAGTAGAGCAAGAGAATTTTTTACTACGTCCCAAGATGCCAGTTCACCGACGGCCTGTGCCAACATCTCTGCAACCTTCCATGGAGAACAACGCAAAGGTAAATCATTATCAAGTTGTGACAAAGGGCAAATACTCCCATTTTGACCTTCGACAAGTCCAAGACTAGAAGGTACTAGAACTCAAAGGCAAGATCCAGAGAATTAAAGCCATGATGGGCTAGCGCCATGACCGTCAAGAACAACAGACTGAAAACTCTTCATTATGGTGCCCTCATGGAAATTAGACTTATTCCAGAAAAAAAAATAACACTCTGACACGGTAGGTCCGAAACGACACTAAGGCTAAAATCATAACACCAAAACTCAGACTTCCAGTTCAGAATTTGTTTCTGGTCGATACGTTTTAGGGCTAAGATCGAGAACTGAAAGAGAGGTCGAATGCACATCCACAACTATAGGTAGTCCAATTTCATCACGAAATTGTGAAATTTGGGTAACACGTCTGACTACTATTATGTAACGCACTCCAGTGATTTATAGTCCTATGATCAGAGCCAATAATTTTTAAGCAAGCAACGTACCTCAACCTGGAGTGATCTCAATTTTGGATTTCGACTCCGAAATAAAGGAACGCACACGGTCCATATAACCTTCTCCAAGTTCCCTGCTTCCCTTTCTATGACAAAAATTCAACCGAAGTCAACAAAACTACAGCAACACATGCTGCGTCCAATGCTAACGGTTTTGACAATTCTATGTAGTCCATAGATTTCCACTTCACATCGTAAACTACATAATATCGTCAAAACCGTTAACTTCGATGATAGTGTGGATAAGAAACGACGAGTTGTACAAATCGGCTTCATTGCAGGTTCAATCTGTCAAACGGATGACTTTCTACTCCCAGGCACATCTTCAGCAGAGAAATAGTCCTTTCCTTTGAGGCTTCAAAGTTACACGAAGAAAGAAAACTTATGTTGTTTGATGAGGAGATTCGCACCATTGTCTTTCAAGAGATGAAATAATGCAGTTAAATACGTGTGGTTCATCTCTCCCTCCTCCTTATCATGTGTGAATGCTGGCTCACCCGCACTGACCTGTATATCGAACCATGCCATGAATTATAACGGCACAGTTAATCGGAAAAACAGTCCATTGCTTCACTCTGCATTTGGTCGCACATTTCACTAAGGTAGTAACAAAATATATACAATATATCACTCCAAGATATAGCTCTAAACGAACTCCCGAGTGTCCCAGGTGGGGTTCGTTGATGGACATCTATCTACATATGATGAACCGGCAAAGTGAAAACTAAGAATGTGGCTAGAATATGTAATGTGCATATAGTTTGTCCAATTGAGACATTCGTCACTTGCATATCTTCTGTTTACATTAAGCGAACCTAGAGCCCCTGAAATCATTACTGGAACCCTCTAAAGCTTATTCCTGTACCTACAGCTGGCACACTCTAAAAAAGGAGAATTGAAACCAGAACGACCTCTTTGATCTAGAGGATTGCACCCGTGTCAGAATTTGTCCGGAGTTTTTAGTCCAAGGATTAAACCCTGCGAGATTGCTAGAACCCGACTTACACCTCTGCAGAAGCAGATGGAAACGGCTCGAAACTACTGATCATCTCAGAGGATCTCAAATTAATGTAGAGAGCACTGCCCACTGAACACTTTTCCCACGCAGATTACTCATCTTACTCATCACACGGGGTTGAATTGACTGATGAAAGAAAGTATAAACGAGTGAAAACCCAGAATCTCGGTGCAAAAGAATTTCGTGAATTCGAATTCACCGAAGTCAAGATACGAAGATTCCACGAAGTACCTGACGGAAAATGTCCGGGAAAAATCGGAGCAAGTCCAACAGCAAGGACGATGCGGAGCACTGCGTTGTAAGAAGAAGGGCGTCGACGAGCCCCGGCACAGCGGCAGCAGGGACCTTGCCCAGGGCGCCCACCAGAGCAGCTGCAGGCCCCATGCCGGAATTCCGCGGAGAACGGGAATCAATCATCATCGAGCGAGATTCATAATCCACTGAGCTGACGGGCTAAAACCCTGGCGTCTCTAAAACCCTCGAGCACCAACTCAATTCCGAACCTTTGCTCCTTGTCCCCTCAGGCTGCTGTCATTTTCTCCAATACGAATTTTGTGGGACCCCGACGGTTAGGGGCTCGAGCTCTCGCCCGCTCCACTCCTCGAGAGCAATCAGCAAAGGGGGACCTAAAGTTGTTCCAGTTCGGAGCTGAGGTGGATCTCACTCACTGACATGTGCAGCGCGGGCGGGTCTTTGGGCCCCGTCTGTACCCTCCACGGGACAACGATGGCACGGGTCCCGAGAAGGCTCGGGTCCGAACGGGGCCATCGGACCGCATACGTCCTCTCGTTCCAGAGGAGGAGGACGAGTACGACAGACCTACTCCGCCTCTTGAGCACCCCGTGCCATGCCAGGGCCATCAGCATCCGACCATCGTTTCTTGACTTCTCTCCTCTTTTGGGGCCCTCGTTTGTACGTTTCGGTTCGCCAGTATGGCCTCCATATATCCTCGACTCGCGAGACTGTTTGCAGTGTATCTCTTTCCCAACTATTCCGGTCGAATATGAGATCTCATTTTTTATTTCGCATAGCAGTGTTCTAGAAAGTGTATTTATTTTTCAAGCGATTTTCAAGCTGGGTGGATTTCTGCCGATGGAGTTTTCTGCCATTAGAGCCTGCCACGTGGCAATTAGTGACTTGTACGACCTCCCTGTTTTACTTGTATGACTGCAGAGTACTTCAGGTTATGCTAATTGCCCGTCTATACAAGTGGATAGTGAGGAAAGGTGAGTGAGGATGTGAGTATTAATGTACTATTTAATGGAATAATAAGATGCGTGTATTTACTTAAGACAACTCTCAAGTTCATATTAGCACAATTCTTTAAAGGGTGTCATACTTTTCATATATGGATTTAAATTTTTAAATTAAAATTTTATTTCTTTATTTAATCATATAAGATATGATTAAATTTTGCAAGTCAATCACAACGATTGAAATCTCTAAATGAGATTATTTTGTATTTATGACTTCAAATCACAACAGCCAACTCATGTCACTTGACATCAATTGAAAGAAAAAATTTAGATATTTTGTAAATGACATTTAGATATTTTTCATCGAACATATGAACAAGAAGATATTATCTTTTAGTTTGATTTTTTTAACATCATCTATTAAAGTTTTGCAAATCACCCTCTGACAAAATCAAAGCTTTGAGTAATAACACATAAAGAAAACACATAAGACATCAATTGAGTGATTTTACTTCATATTACTTATTTGATCTTCTTTGAAAACAAATTTCCAATGTATCAATGTCATATGACCAAAATATCAATGAAATTGAAAAACTTATACTGTTTCAAATATTCTACAATTTAAATAATTATCTTTATTTTTATATGTAACGCCATTTCAAAACTTTGAGGACATATATTATGAAATTATAATAAAAATTTATAAACAAATATTTATTTAACATAATTTTATTGATGATATAATCATCATCAATTGAATAAATTTGATATGAATATAATTTATGACCTAAAATGATATATATATATATAGGTTTCATTTTTTCATAATAAAATAAGTACAATTTGAATAATTTTGATATTAAAATACACATAATTTTATTTGATGTGTATTTATTGAAAAAATTCACTTTTTAAAAAATTATCAATTGATATGATGAACAACAAATCAAATCAAGAATCGATTTTCATATACTGACTTTTCATTTAATGCATTGTAAATATTAACAATCACATTTTATTTTGTTAACATATTTATTTCATATATTTATGATTGTCAACAATTTGACAGTGTACACAAATGCTCATGATATATATTTATACATTATTCATGGCCAATATTTTGCTTTCCTGAATAAATGCTAAATCGATATCTAAATCAAAAATTATCAGAAATAAATTTCTGAATTAAGATAACATATTTTTTGGGCCATAAATATGTAGTCTTGTATGAAAAAAAAATTACATGTGTATTATATGTTTGTTATAAATTTTTTCGATAAAAAAATGACAAATCTTGCTTATGTGAACATAAATCATTTTTATAAAAAAAAAATATTAATATATGATGATTTCAATACTATACTATTTAGCCAGTGAATATCTTGCTTAGTACTAAAGGAATCAACCGGCATTCCAACATATCCAAATATTAAAAGCTGAAAACTTTTAACTTTATGTATATATGATTGAACAAGAACAAATAGATTGTTATGAATTCAAAAAAAAAACCACAAAATGATATGACTAAATTTGACTCGTTTGTTGTTATTTCAAATAAAATTCTCATTTTGGTGCACCCACAAATATTATAATCAAGGAGTTCATATCATCATCATTCATTTATATAAAAGTATTTTTTACCATTAACAATTAAATCATGTGAAAAAATGCTAAAGATGTGTCTCTATTTCAGGAATGTTATTCTGAATGAAAGAATTTATAAATTTAATTATTGCACAATTATTTTGGAACTCTTCCAAACTGAAAACCAAACAACCTAACTTGGAGATAATTTTTTTATTTACACAAATAATTTATGAAACGGGGAAACAAATATAAAGAATTTGTTCATAATTTTATAATTATATCTAAAATTTTTTAATTTTTAATTTGAATCGAGTACTTTTATAATTTTTATGGGAATTATCGCATATTCTTTACATGTCTTTGTAGTTACATGTTGTTGATTGTGTGAATAATTTGTTTTAAAAAATGTATAAATATTTATTTTACAAAAAAAAGAGTAAATTTTTTATCCGCAAAATTGTTGGACAGAGATTTTTCATTTTAAATAATCATTAATGACATATTTAATCTCACATCATCATATTCATTTATTTTCTAACAGAACTTCAATTCAATAAAAACATCTTTTTATATGATTTAATTTTATATTGGATGAAAAAAATTATTGGAAAATTCTCAAAATATTTTTTATTTTATTTTCAAGATATTAGACCTCGTTAATTCTTAATTATCATTGGATAAATGTAATAGTGTATATTTAAATATGATGGGTTCTATATATTTAAAATAAGTAAATTTAATTATTTTTGACAAGATCAATCTAAAACTCGAATTTGTGATTTCTAAATCTTCTTTATTAAAAACCTTACAACATTATTATTATGATTTTGATAATGCTTTTTTTTTCTCTTAATTTTTAGGTTTGAAAAGTTCTAAAAAATGTAGAATTTGTTTATATTGATTTAAATATTATATAATTAATTTGTATATCTTTTAGTTGTTCAAGTGTGTTTTTAAAACTTCTAATATTTTTAGAAAGATTAGAACATTATTATTCCTTCATGATAAAAATAAATTTGATTTGCACCATCTTCTTTTTATCTATGTCATATCTTATTTTACTAAAATAACAGATTTTGTTATATATTTATTCATGAATATGTTTAAATTTCTTATATTAGTCCTACATTAAAAACAAACTTTGCGTTATGCATATTCACAATAATTAAATAAAAAAAGTTGATGTTTCTTGTTTCAAACTTGACATTATGAATAAAATGTACCACAAAATTTTTGTTTGACGCTAATACTGTGCATGTAATGTTCATTACATCGTTACATGAACTTTGTTAGTCATTCATGCATTAAAATAAATAAATAAGTAAACTAAGCTTTTGTTAACCTACTTATTGTTTTTCTAACCATCACGTTGATTTTATTGATTGAGCTATATCATATGTTTCTTCATCGCTATGTTAACAAAGGGTGAAATGAAACTGAAATCACCTTCAAAAGTTTCATCTAAGATTATTTGTATATTTTCAAAGAAGATTGAACGATATTTGTGAAACATAAATTTATATCATGACTCTTGACGGAGTTTTTAAATCTCTAGAATGTGAAACCAGAAAAAAATTATAGATTATACTTTTCATTATTGAATTGATGTATCAAGTAATGGATCAATTGGTAAATGCGCCATACTTTATCAAACTATATTTGATATTTAAATATCATCTTATTAAAATTGGCTTCCGGTGATAATTAAGACCCTAATTTATACATTGATTTTATAAAGAATTTATGTGTATATTGATAAATTATTTATCGTTCCACCTGTGTATTTGTACGGTTGTAGAGCACGTAATATAAATCTGTTGTGAATTTAGGTAAAGGCGGAGAACTTGTACCACACTTGGTTTCAAAGGTTGTAAACCGAGAGACGGATCTAAAAGAAAGGAAAAGAGAAGGAGAGAGAGACCGAAATGGAAGGGGAGGGATACTCCGTCGCTCATCGTCGAGGGGAGAATGCCCTCGCACATGAATGCCATAAGGCGCTTCAAGGGTTCGGATAAAGGTCATGGATCCACATCGCGCGTCCACATCGCAACGAATTGCCACCAGAAGAAAAGATCAAAAGACGCCGCGCATGCAGCGTCCGGACGCTCGCTCGCTCGCTCGCTCGCCCGCCATCCATCCATCCATCCAATCCAGTCGTTCGTTCAGTCATTCATTCATCGGCACTCACATGTCGACGATCGCCCGCGCCATGATGAGAATCCAGGACGAAGGATCCGGTTGGAATGGTTGCGCTATGATGAAGCTCTGATGAGCCCCAAAAGCTACGACCTCTGGCACCTGCAAATCCTTTGCTCCGGAGCCGCTGGACACAACAACATCGGGTGCTCTTCTAGGCCGAGCCCGAGCCCGAGCCCGAGGCCGCCGTCGTCGTCGTCGTTGCAGTAGTAGTAGTCGGAATGAGCGGAAAGGTTCTCGACCGAAGGGCGGAATCCGGAGGCGCATTAAAGGCTAGGACGGGCCCGAGAGGCGAGCAGGGCGAGCAGGTGCTGCAAAAGCAGCACGAGGGTTACTTCTCCGTCCGCACAGATTCCCAACACATGTCTATTGGCAAGATGCGTGTCAGTTGCCACAGTACATTGCGACAGACGGACAGGCAGCAGCAGCACCAGGAAGCCGGGAACGAGTTTATCTGCAACCTGCCCGAGCGCTCGACGTCGTCGTGGCCGCGCTTCGGACCATCGTGTGTGCTAACGTCGCTATCCCCCCCTCCCCCCTCCCGCCGTGACCAGTACTCTGTCCGCTGGCTCTGTCCAAATCCGAACTCGAAAGCCCCTCGGGCCCCCGCGAAAGGAAAGGATGCTCAAGCCGAAGCCAAAGCCGAAGGCGAAGCAAAGCAAGGCGAAGGCGAAGGCGAAGTTTAGGCGAAGTTTAAGTTCAAGGAGAGGGCAGTGGAGTTAAGTTGACGTTCGTGCTGCCGGGGTGGGGTGGGGTGGGGTGGGGTGGGAAGAAGACGGAGGGTATATGGCGGCACCGGGGTTCGGGAGCGGTGACCGGAGGCGGACGTCTGGCGTCCAGTTTTTCGGTGCTCCTCGACGCGGAGCTGAGCTCGCAGCGGCGCACTGTGTCCGAATGGTGCCTTCAGCAGCTTTGACTTCAGCGTCGCGTTTTGACTCGATGACCTCCGACCTGGTAGTCCGGGCGCCGCGGGGGCGGGCCCCAGAGCGCGGGACAGAGCCCGGGTGGCCTCCTGGCTTGGCGGAGAAGTTAGCTTCGCGGGAGATTAAGTTAAGTCGAAGGTTGAGGACGTAGAGTCGAAGGCGAAGGAGAAGGAGGAGGGATGGAGTCCGTTTGTTGGAAGGAAGGAAGGAAGGAGGGAGGGAGGGGAGGAAGGCCCGGCCGAGGACAGGACGAGGGGAGGGGGTAAAAAGGAACGCTCGGGACTGTTGCGTGAGCAACAAGCCACTCTGTTGAGCTTGTTGTACCAGTTCTTGTGCGATGCGGAGACCATTTCATGGTCACTTGCTGCCTCCAAGCTGCTTCTGCTGGTAGAGAATGGGGCAGGGCTGAGGAGGGCGGCCTATGAGTGCCATCTGAAGCAGTTGTTCAGGGAGGAGCAAGAGGAGGAGGAGGAGGAGGAGGAAGAGGTGTTGTGCACCCTCTCGACATTTGTAGTTGCGGCCTCGCTAGCAGTCTCGGAGTCGATGATCTCAGCGTCGATGATCTATGTGCACTTCTATGCATCAATCCCACCGATTCCTGTGAGAGTGAGATTGAAGATTTTATCTGTAAATTTCCTTTCACTGCAGGCCTCCATCAAGGAGTAGTTGATAAGGAGCAGGAAATCTGTACACAAACTTAACAGAGCGGAGGACGACTCATGGGGCAAACAATTGGGGTTCTTGATTGCATCTATGAAAACATGCTTGAGAAATATGGACCTTGGCAGCGTCGTGTTCTCATGGTCGGCTTGGATAATGCTGGTCAGTTCATCTCCCATGCTTTGTGCAATGTCTTCCATCGTTTTTTGGACTTGTATCCCTATCTCGTCCGCGCTTCGCTGACTGACTCACTCTTCTCTCGGTGCATCTCTTCTTCCAGGAAAGACAACAGTGCTGTTTACTCTGAAGTCTCGGAACGGAGAGAAGCCTGCACCTCCTGCTCCGAACACAATGGGGTACAACGTAGAAATGGTACGGCACCAAGGCATAATGTTTAGCTTGTGGGATCTCGGAGGCCACTCTACGAATCGCGTTGCTTGGCTGCAATTACTCCCTGACACCCAGGTGAGATCCCTCTCCGTGCCTCGTATCCCAATCCTGGCCTCGAGCCATGTCTCTTTTTGAGAAACTAGGTCTGGATTCAGTAATCTTCGAGGTCGTTGATCGCTGCATTGCTGAAGTATGGGCGACGGTCTGAGAGGTTGTGTTATGGGTCTATTTCTCGCAGGGGCTTATATTTGTCGTGGACAGTAATGATAAGAAAAGAATTACCGAAGCACGAGATGAGCTCCATAAGTTGCTGAAAAATGACGAGCTGTCGGGTGTTAGATTGTTGGTGCTGGCTAACAAACAAGATCTCGACGATAAATTTACCACCGATGAGATCACGGAAAAACTGCAGTTGCGGACTTTGCCCTTTGACGTCTGGTGGCACATCCAGGAGTGTTGTGCTACCAGCGGAGATGGTCTAAGCCAGGGCCTTGATTGGCTCGCATCTGCTCTAGCGAATCCTCAAGTGACGGATCTGATCCAACCTTTGTACGATTACAGACTTCATCAGCAGACAGATACCTTGGAAGATTACCAACGGGCGCTCTCTTCTGACGACGTATCTTCTGCGCAAAAGTCCGCCAAAGGTTCATCAGAAGCGTCGTTCAGCTCGTTTGACTGAGCTGTAGTAGAATTATGTATCCATTGAGCACGAGGAGGAGGTGGCAGTCCGATCTTGTGCTTGTTTCGAACTCCCCACGTATTTGCAGTTAGACAGAGCTTTTGCGGATAATGTCTGGTATGTAAGAAAGCGTCTTGAGCTCGAAATCGCACCTGAGCTAGCCCAGTTTTAAAGACAGCGGTGCACAGAGGGTCATCTCCGCTCATGCTTTGCATCGTCCGACCATTGCGAACGGAAGATTAGCATCTCGATGATGTGGACGAAGACTGGATTGCACTTCATTTCGCTATTGAAGAGGTCTTTCTTCGTGACCCGGAGAGCATTCAAGAGACATAGGTTTCTAGGTAGACTCTCACTCACTTTAATTCCTTAGATAGATCGTACATAGTTGGACTTCTGTACAGAATCGAGTTTTTAGGTTTTCAGCATATTAAATGGACATTGTACATAGGGAATGTGGTTCCGAGTCCTGAACGCATCTTGGAGCTGATCTGTATGTAGTAGTGTACTAGATTAGGTAGTATAAAACACAATGGACCACATAATCTCTTCTGTAGCTAAGTTACGTTTCTGTTTTGGTCCTTGCCCATCACAAACAGTTTGTCTTCATGGATGGTTTAGATAGGTAGTGATAGGTCACGAAAGTAGGTGGATTTTCTCTCGCCTTGGCCCTTCGCATATGAAGAATAAAATGAATAAAGAAACCCGCGGAGATATTGGACCTGCTATGCATCATCTCGGACCCGACGTACGTCGACTCCCCTCCCTCTGCTTCTTGGTTAGTTTCAGTGCAAGCAACGTCGCTTTGTTTCCTGAGGTGAATCTCGTACATGTGACACCATGAGGTCAGCCGTTTTCAGCCGTTTTTTTTTAAAAATCAACCGTCCATGTAAAATATAGATAAATATAATCACTCTTTTAGTTGCATTATTACGTTTGATAATGCAAATACGTAACCTGCTAAGACAATTGCAGCGACTCTTGATGAGACTGAATGAAATTACGTGCTAAAGATCTGGACTACCATTTTCTTTCTGCTTGTGCCTGAATGCCTTGGTTGAGACAGCGTTGTTCTCTCCTGGCCTGTTCGTCTTTAGGCATGAATTGTTCCTAGTTTTCTTTTACTGGTGGAGACCGAGCAGATTGGAAAGCTCGAGCCGTTAATACCTCTTGATCTCAAGCACATTCGAATGCATTTTTGTGCTCCTTAATCTGACTGCGGGCATATGCTGTGACGTTTCGTTAACCCGTGCAGAAGGAAAGCCGTCAGTTGTATCGCATAATTGGCCGTTGTCTGCTCTGTGGACACAGTGAAGGCATAGCAGTGCAGAGACTGTCATAAGTTTGATCAGTGCTTTGTCTGATGCCAGCGGTTTGACTTGGAATCTCGGTAGATGTGGTGGAAACACGTAGAACTAGAAAACCTAGAAACACGGGAATCATAATAAGCCATAACATTGACAGGTGAGGGCGAAATTACAGTTACTGAACCTGTCATGGCTGGACAAATCCAGGAACAAAGATGATCTAATGAGCGCTTCACTATACCTTGTCCAGTATGATGTTTCGAAAGAATTTCGGAAGGTTCGGATTGAAAATACTATCTGAACAGAGGTGTGACACGTTGAAAGATTTGAAATGGTTTGCGGGAGCAAAGTCTAGTGGTCAGTTGGGAATAATTTGGATACTTCTGTGTCAACATAATGCACGTGTACACCAGGACTTTTTCGTGTTTGCAGATTCTACGCTGCACGTGTGTTTCAATTCACAATCACTTGGATTTGACTATATGGTAGTTTACTATGTGTAGCTTAATTCAAGTCGACATCCGTTTCCTTGTACTCTGTACTTGGCGACGGACCTGACTGGAGATGAATATACCTCACTCGAGATTTGAAAGAAAATGTGTTGTCAAAATGGCCACGTACACTTAAATTAAAGTAGGGAAGTGAAAGATGTCTTTTTAACCCGAAAATCGGATATTTCTAGAGTACTAAAACGTGACGACAATACACGAGAATATTGGACAAAGAATAGTGGAAACCTGAGTCGAGGGTCAAATGAAGCATAGAGAAAAGAGGTTTTCCATGAGGAAGCGCCACTCGATCAAATGATCCTTTTAAAACGTCCTTGATACTGGAGGGTTCTGAACAATTTATCACCAAACCCTTTATTACTGTAAATCTAGTAGTACTCTGTCGCGTTGAGGCTCTGTTTGCGAAAAATCTGGGTGATTCTTGTGAGACATGGAAAGTTTTTTTCTTTCCCTCGTCAAATAACAGTGAAGTCAACATCATATGCTACCTCCATAAGTTAATGATTTATAACTTGAGAATGATACTCATGTTCAAAATTCATCATGTTTGACTATTTCTGATTTGTTCTTGGTAAAGCATCATGATAGATTGAAATCCATGCAATTAAAGAAAAATTCATACACAAATATATATTCATAAAATTCAAACTCAATAACAACTAACTAATCAGTTCATAATATATATCTTATCTAGATTTACTGATAAAGCATTAGGACGAGTGATTTCAATAATGTTTAATTTTGACAAAACTCTGTTTAAAATAGAAATCTTTAAGTTGACTTTGATGTACAGTTGAGTAGGCTTCGCTAATCTATTCGTTGCATACTCATAATATTTCATTCTTGATAAAGTTCAAAATTATGTCTTTTGAAGACTTATCAATTATGTTATCTTCTAGAATTAACGTCACGGTGAGTTTTTGCCAACCTTACCATGATTTATTGAGTATTATAATCTGAGTATCATAACCTGAGTTTTCTTTTCTTGATCTATTTAATCTAGTCTCATACTTGTTGAAAGAACTGCTTGTAGTCGAATCTAAATCCTCCTCCGCATGATCCTTGTGATGGCGAATGGATTGTAACAACGTATATATTTCAACATTGAATAAAAGCTTATCAAGCTAAATTATCAAGCTTATACATCAGGATATCTCCAGTTTATCATCCGGTGATACACTGGAGAGCTTTCTAATATAGCTCTGATCACTTATTGAAGTTGTTTCGTATGTTACTAAATCGCAACGTTAACAATTATGTAGAAGATTATGTACGTCGTAATGTTCAAATGACAATCATAATATACAAATTATATCTTGTAATGAAGAACAATAGAGTTGATGGTGTTTGCAGTTTTTTATTTAATCATTAACTCATATATTTACAATAATTTCGTGTGTTTTCATGCTGTGTGTAACAAGCTTAGTAAGAAATATACAATAACAAATGTGCATTATATTTCATTAAATATGCTCATATCTTTCACTCTATGACTGAATGTACTACCAAATATATTGGAAAAATTTTGCATGTCATTCCATAATTAACATTAAATGATCAACATACAAATTTTGAAGTCTAGATCAGTTGAAAAGTTTATTGTTCAATATTAAAATGATTCAATGAAATACCTGTCATTTATCAAGTATATGAGATAAATTGAAGAAATCAAAGACTGGAGCAAACTGAATAAAGTTATCAAGTGAAGGAAAAATTGGTCTTCAAAACATCAATTATTTTTTGTGATTCACGTCAGATCTACATTTTTTTTTTAAAGTGGAGTTATTTCAAATGATATAGCATTACGTGCTGAGATATATCTGGATTAGAAAATTTAGACATGTGGATTTTGAAAATTTTATTATATAGCAGTATTGAACTCAATGGATAAAAATATCGTTGATATCATGTATTATGTATGGTACATGGATTATTGTTCCTCATTATCAATTCACAATACTATCCAATATATCACCAAGTTGAGTTTCGACTTTATGATTCCAAATCAAAGTTGTTTGTGGAGTCCATTGTAATTATTATCATAGGATGTCATCCATGGCTAGTCTAAAAGCAAATTACACTGGAAACAAGTCCTCAACTAAGATCAAAACTCACAAAAGAAGATGTGAAGCGATGCACCTCATAATAATAAGACATAGTGAACATGAAACTTGCCCCTATCACAAGCATTCAAAAAGTCCAGATTTTAGTCGCCTGACAAAGGCGTTTAGAAAGACTAAAGTTTAGTTTCGAATGACTTATGCTTTCCATATATTCGTTTGCATTTTAATAATCCTAAATAATTTAAATATATCCTTATTCATTTCCCTCCTAGCACACATTCTCTTCAATCACACTTAGTTGATGATCTTTGAGGCTTTTGCAAAATACTTTAATTATAAACTTGTATACCTAAAGAATGACGAATTTGAATGTGCTGTCCACGAGATTGACATCCATATCGAAAGCAGATTTCTTTGTATATTTTAAAATTGCAGCCATGCATTCCATGAGGAATTTCATTTCTTCCTCGTGTTGAAGATAGTGCCTTGAATTGGGTAGAGTCAACAAATTGTCTTAAAAGTTTGAATAGTCAGTGCGGTAGAAGGCATGTCATATTTTTGGAAGTAAATTGTGAGGCGGCCAACACTTGTCTCCAACGACGTTTTTGGAAACTTATGGTCTGCTAGGGTTTCCTAGCTATGCAAGGAACTTGCAGGATTCATTGTGATTCATGCTCTTCATTGTAATCTTTCTCTCAAGGAATATAGGCTCCTCTTTGTCCGTGGATGTAGTTAGCACACATTGTGCTAGCGAACCACGTAAATTTCTGTGTTTCGTCTTTCGTTCATTATAGTGAGGTAGAGTCAAGCACGTAAAATCATAACATTTCGAATTTTCATAGATCTATCATTGCACATGTGATCTAAATGACAAAAGAATTGTTTGAAGAGCATATGCATATACAAGCTTATATATCTTGTCATAATTATATATCTCGATCATAACAATGTTCAAATTTACACGAATTTAAACTTGGTTGTAGAGAAAACAAAATTTATCAATAAGAATATTATTGAATTTATTTATTATTTAAGGATGGTTTTATTGAAATAGAGATATTTATGTAACTATCCACTGCCTGAGGATGGATTTATTGGAAGAGAAATTTATGCATCTGTCCACTGCCTCTGGTACCGTTCTAGTGCTTTTGGCACTAGCTAGGGATTGGCCTTTGGGGTGATTTCTCCTGTTTGTGGTTTTGGCTTGTGTTTTTCAACCTTTTGACCCTTTGGGTCCCCCAGGGCTTGATCTATTACCCTTTACCTCTCCATTGACAAGATTTAAGGATATTATACTTCCTGCGTATGAGTGAATTCTGACAAGATAATGCATGTATATTGTCTAGCTAACGATTGCTACGTGTTAAACATTCGATAATTGTTCAATAATTTTCTCTTTGATAAATACCGTATGTTTATAAGTATCCCAAGCGCATGTTAGATATAGAATCGTTAGCCTGTAACCCCAGGATAATAGTTTCCTATTTCGGCTGGATTCGATCGTTTAATATAGCATGTGCCGCGTCAGCGACTCAACTCATTCTCGTCCACTACGCTGTCCACTATGTTTGCGGTATAGTTGCATAATTGCATGTAGATGTACAGAGAAAATGAAAAGCTACCGTGTAATGAAAGAGCATGAGCGAAGGCGCTGATTCTATTAAACGTTCAAGCCAATCAGGATAATAGATATACTGATGCCTGGGGCTCCAGGCTAACGTTTCACTTAGATAATAATGCTGAAATGGATCGAAGTTTTCTTTCTATATACTGTGAAACAGTATGTAGAACAGCTTGAGTCCATTCCGAAGATATCTCGTGTACTTTGTGTCATAGAGGGACTCGGGGAGTGTATGGGCTGGTGAATTCCAAGTCTATGAACCACTTACAGGTGGCTGCGTTTAAGTTCAAAGATGAGCCCGTCGTCCACAACATCCTGAAGAAAGATTGCGCTATATCTACCAACGGTCGCTGATTTCGTGCTATATATATATATATATCTATCGTGCGGACTTCCAAACTTCTATTTCCTCAGTGTAGATCGAGGGAAGAAGTTCTTATACAACGCCAGCCCGTTCATATATCTACCGCAAATTCCTGTGCATTTTGAAATATTTCTTTTATCATATCTGCAACTTTTGAGCTGCCTATGCAAAATCGCAAAATTCTTCACCGCGGCATGTATAAAACATCCTGCTGCGGATGTTTTATACATGCCGCTTGAAAGAGAATCTTATCCACGATTCATGAGCCCCAATGCATAAGATATACAAGTTCGAAGTTTAGATTTCCCTCTGCTGCGAATCAGTATGGACAAAATAGCTTTTTCCCTTTTCCTTCACTATCTATACTCAGTACTTTGTCACGATATATGTTGAAGAATTGTACAACTTTGAGGCCACAAAGATGCAGACAAAACTCGTAAGAAGAAAAGTCTTTCTAGACTAGAAGCTTTTTGACCAGTAAACCTTCTGTATGCTAAAACAAGACATACCTTCAAATGATGGGTGTGGATTTACAATTTATTCAAACGAGCATTCAACCTTTAACATGTCCACCACCCCAATACCTGAATACCTTAGGGATTCAAATTTTTGATGGTGTTGTAGGCTGTCGAAGTAAGCCGCTGGGTTTTCTCTGAGCTCGGAAACAAAGAAGACCATCCCAGTTCAATGATGGGGTGACATCTTGCTTCTATCGTACACTTCTGAAGGAGACTAGAATGGCCGCAAGCCTCGGTATGCTGGAGCAGAAATGACTGACAAAACTTCTGTCACTGACGCCATGGAGCTCAGAGCAACTTTCAGTACTTCAGGAGGACATCCTGGTTTCACCATTTCCTTCACCTGATTGTTAACCAGATCAAACAACAAAAAAAGAGAAGACAAGGTTTGTTGTGAGTAAAGAGGAGTTCTGCAATCGAAAAGGACATTAGAAGACGTTGACATTTCTAGTCTCACAACATAGTAGTAGAAACCAGATTCTCCAGCTGCTACAGCCTAAATCATGAAAATAGGCAGAACTAGGAAGAAAGAAACTGGGTGAGAAAAGAGACTGCAGTCAGACAAATTTCCATCAAAACTTGGAGAAGGTCTACTTGTAACTAACATTCCGAACAGAAGACTGGCAGACTGGAGTAAAGAATCACTATACAGCTGCAATTCCCGGATAAAGGCTAAAAAGAGCCGATAATTACGGTGAAATCTTCAGGAGATTTCACCGCAAACTAAGTTCCAAGATTTATTCCAAAGAACAAATGGGTAGTACATTGTACAAAAAGATAGCATGTTAATCCCAAGTCAGGATAAATTCAACGACATTTCGTAGAAAGAGGGAAGGAAAAGTGAAGATATGTTAGTGCCCGTCTTGGGCTTACGAACATAGACCCACGCCCTGGCTGCACATGCCTTGTGCCTGAAAGCCAGCCTAAACAGTAAACTTCGTGCCAATAGTATAATGCGAAGTTTGCAAATTGCCATAAGTCACTCATGACGGCTGTAACTACGTTAGAAGACAAGTGAGATGACAATGCTCGTATATCGTTGTGGAGATATGAACATTGAATCAAGTTAGATATAACATTGATGATTCATGAATGCCCAAATCTTTATTGAAAGTTTGAAAGAACTATTCATTCAGATTGGTGGAGCTTCATATGTCACATGACGTATGCGGATGCAGTAAATTCACATCATGCGACTTGGTCCGCAGAGAACAAGTATTGGTAAAGGATATTAGTAAGACGGTAGTTCCATCTTTGATGAGAACCACCCTGATAGGCTACTGCGGTTCTTAGTGTGGGGCGAATGAGGAGTAGTAGTAAAAAAGTAAAAAAGCTTAGGAACACGGCCTGCTCTAGAAGAAATCCTCAGTTGTTCATGAGCAAGACTTCTTGATTCGTTGTTTATAACCGACACAAGGATTTTAGTACCTGGTCCAAATACTTCTGCAACTCCTGAATGCGACCGACGTAATCTTGATCTTCTACTGACAATGTGACTGTCTTTATATCTGATCCTGGACCTTCAAACTGGATCGGTCCAGGATTACAATAGAGATCATCGGTTTGCCAGCGACCAGCGTTTTGAGCAAGCAATCTGCACGACACAAAGAATTTACGTCATACGTGAGCAATACTGGAAATTAGGCATCAGGCCTCAATCAACAGAGAGACAGACGGGATGCGATTCTTACTCGTAAGGTTTTCCTTTCAGATCAACTTTGGCAGGATGAACAGCAGGCTTCCCAATTTGAGAAACCCCAGGTCCTCTGAGCCACCTCTTCACTGACATCATGGCCTGTTTACACGTAAATACAAGCAGGGATGCACTCGTCAGTTCTATACATTTCTGAATATAATTTATGTTTCCTAACAATCAAAGAAATTATCCAATTAAAGGATGAGCTGGAAAAAAAACTGAACAAGGACTAGAGATTTGCTATTGGATGAAAGTAACTGATAAAAGCTAGCATCAACTAAAATAACCAACTGTACAAAGCTGAAATAGGACCAAGAGATATCATAGACTCACAGACCTTTACTGAATGCGTTATATCCTAAATAATGTATGAAGACTCTTGATTATTCGGAGGCAGAAGATGCGAATTTGAACTAACACTTTAACTCCTACCCTTCACCATTTAAGGTGAGATGTGAAAATCTCCAAACATCTTGGTGGAAGAAAACGAAGACTAACAGTGATTGGGGCTCCCCCACAGCGCCAGTTGGTTACGTCTTCCTTCAAATTTGTCACCGTTGCCATGTAACCGTTCAGACCTTCTGCAGCTAAGTGAAAAGCAACGTGACCGAGCGCCTGGAACAAGAAGGTTGTTTGATGTTAGGATTCTCGAATATCTAAGGAAGTCGAAACTTGAGGAAAAATCAAGCCAACACAAAGTTGCAGGAATCACTCACGTTCGCGTAGGTGCTGTCAAAATTAGAAGGTAGCGATCCTCGAGCTTGATATCCAAAAAAGTGACATATAGCATTGAACTTCTTCCCCTTGTACGTGCCTGCCTTCTGTAAGTGAAGACAAAAAAGTTCGAAGACGTTAGACAATGAGAAGAAGACTTGAACTGATGTAAGCTGGAAACTAGGAACGAAGTGAACGAACATACCGTGCGTCTTGTGATTTCTGTGTCCACCAGTTGTGCAAGTAGCTTTTCCATCTCGATCTGTACCACAAGACATACCAAAAAAATTAAAAAGGGGTTCGTTGTATTATAAAGCTTAAACGGCCCTTTAAACTATTGGGATTGGTTCGAACTGCAAAACTAACATGCAAACCGTGCAACTGAAGCCATACAACTCGTAAATTTTAAAATCAATGGGAGCAAGCTCTGTATCTTCTTTACCCCTTCCCTTCTGTATTTGCCAGCGCTTCACTGGGCTTTGCAGCCGTTTAATCGGCTGCAACTTTCAGCGTTCCTCTCCCCATCACATTGTCTAACTAAACTAACTAATATGTAGAAGCTTTAACCCAACCTTCGTTGGATGCCGGCACGTCAAGCTGAACGCCCTCTGGTATCGGCTAAAGCCAGAACTATGGCCAAAGGGCGATGCTATAATGAGAGCAGTTACACACTTCATGGGTCCGAAGTGAATATCAAACTACTACTGAATATAAAAACAAGTTGTTTGAAATCTTCAAGTGATTTTAGATTATAAATCTTGAACGGCTATGTTCTAAATCATCTAATAATAACCCTGCCCCAATTTGCAAAAACGTGGGTCTAGAAACTATTATCGTATGTATCTGCAGATTACTCTATTCTAGCTCAAATAATATGGAAACGCGCCAATCGCGGTCTTCCTCTATAGATTTCTTTCACAGTCAGAGTCGTCTCTTACTTGTTTAGAGAGGTTATGTGTTAATTCCATCAGGGAAATTACGGGATTTGCGGTCTGCTGCCTTGGTATCATAATATTCCCTTATATTCTGCTAGAAGTACCTCATAGGTGCAAACGCTCAACACAAAGTGTCCTCACCTGCGAGAGCTGCACTGAGCCATCTGATTCTCGGTCCAGAAGAAGCTGCAGCAGAACAGTTTCAACATCTAAATCGTAAGTTTCTAATATATGCTAGCGAATATTGAATGCCTAGTGCTGCAGCAAAGGAGAATGACCACAATGAGAGTGACAGGATTTACTTACAGAAGATAGAAGCGATTTCAGAAGAAAAGAAAATGTATACAGATGCCAAAACTATGTTACAATCTACAACTCGCGAAGTTCATCAAAGATATGATACCATGATGATATGTAAGTTGGACACCTAGGGAAAATGGAGAAACGGTAAAGCAGGAGGACGTTCGAGTACGTATGCCAGGAAACCAAGAACACAACTTAGTGTTGAGAAATAAGTATGCAAGCTCAGATGAGGTGAGCTGGAGACCTGCTTCTTGATGAACAAGGGGAGGAAGTCAAACAAAGCAGAAGCCCAAGGGGACAGTTTTGACGACAGATTCAAAATGTCAACATCAACATCATGCTTGAGTAGATCGTTTATTTCCTGCACACCGCAGAAGTAGACACATGTTAGATGAGTATAAATTCTGCAAAAATGACGATATCACTGTCCACATCATCTCAATATTTAAAATAGTTCATTCCTCTTCACATCATTACCTGCAGAAGTGCATGTATTTCTGGAATGTTTTCAATAAGACCTTCTGGCAGAAGAATAACACCATGATACTTTTCTGTCCGCGGTAACACAAGTACGAACTGTCAAACCGTTGAAATGAAGATGACTTGGATAATGTAGAAACGAAATGTTATGATAATGCAGACACGTTCTTCTCTCAATGTCCCTCTTCGATCCCATAGAATATAGAGGGATGTTCCTTCTCCCTGAACAGCTATATACCTTCCCGTTCAAAACAATCATAAGACCAAGGAGAAAATATAAGCCAGTTATTCTTCATACTAACCAGTTTCGGCTCGAGCTTGAATTACATCGCAAATCTGCTTGGTTATATCAAACAGGGTCATCTTCTGGGTAGAAACCTCCTCACCAAGAATCACCTGAACACGCGATTGAATATCCCACCATCAATGGTTAATGAGGATGTTTTTCAGTTCCTGTTAGTCTAAGTCTGTCGCAAAAATGAAATGATAAAATTACGCTGGGCATATCCATCTGTGCAGCAGCGTATACATGTGAAATCTGCATGTTGTTCTTGAAGTTCCATTCGAACGACACACAAAAATATGCTTCACAGAAGTTTACCATGTTCGGATGAGACTGCAACGTACACTCCAATGTGATGTGTGACGTTCTCCGCCCCATCAGTCTGATGAAATAATAGTACTGCAAGTCACAGTTACAATTTCATGTCAGCGGTTAACCATCAAAATCGGCCAAGGAATCTTGAATATAATTTATAAATCGACTACCGTATAATGCTTCACAAATCATACGATTTTGTTTCGATATAACTTACCTTCTCTGCGGACAGAGCGTCGATGCAAATGTTGCTGATGAGCTGTGAGTACACCTGCGTGGACATCCACAGTCCCAAGAGCTGAGAATGTTGCTGTCGCATTATTGAATCCTTACATACTTGCTCAATCCCACAACAATATTTTACTGATAACGAAACGCCAGAGTCGCAGTATTGGACTCCAAAACACCATGTTCCACAGCAAAGCAAATCCGTTGAAAACAAAAATGTTCTTCATTGGGTGAAATGTAGAAACTGCAAAGCTGTAATGTATCAAGCTTTTATGAAATGGACCAGTTACAACTAACGAAGACTGTGAGTATGGTGAACACAATCATAGGGGTATCTCATTAAGGGATTCCGGAGAAGATACGGTACAGACGGGAACATTCGTGAAGCCAACCTCTAAGACCAGAACACGCAATCAGCACCGTTACGTGATATGTCTCCTATACTATTGAATAATGAGTACTCGTAATTCAACATGAGATATGAAGGCTTCGAAAGATGTGAAACAAAAACTTAGTCTTGGCATCCCTCTTTAATGGCAGCTTTACCTTGCATGTAGTGTCGAAGCCAACGTCTGTTTCTATAAACTGATTTTTCAAGTCACCATCGATTGTGACCGGAACTCCAATGACCTGACAAGAAAAGCAGATCGTTTAAGCTTGAATAAGAGCCTCTATATAGAGATACCAGGAAATAGAAGTGAACGAGCGGATAAGACACAACATGGATCATAACCGGAGACAAAAACGTTTTGAGAAGATCGTAAGCACAGACCAGAACATGTGAAAACTGGGTAAGATAACAAGCTCCTGCCAACCTTAGTATGACAATTTGTTGCAGTGAATGTTTCTGCCAGCTGAGCAGCGTCAGTGTTGGTACCACATCCTGCATTACGGACAGAGAAACCAGGGGTTATATAACATCTTAAGCTGTTGCGGTCACAAAGGCCAGCTCAACTGATCAGGAGATTCATAGATGAAAGGCCTGAAAGATATTATCTCATCACCTACCTCCGATGGAGGAAGGCCATCCAGCTTCAAAGATTCACAGGCAGCAATTGCAGCAAGTAGTACAATACTTGTCAGGAACTTGATATATCAAAAGCTGAATGATATATTTCATCACCTACCTCCAATAAGGACAAGGGCATCAAGCTTTAAAGCTTCACAGGCAGCTCTTGCATCATTAACTTGCTGCAAGGACCTCAGTTGATCTTTTGTCCGTCCCAGCATATCAAATCCACCTAACACAAGACAGGCGAAATTTGCCTCCGATTTAGCATGTCCAGTTGAGTTTAGCGCTCGAATCAGAAATTCTTCTATCGCAGAGAAAAAATAATCTGATTATCTTCCTACTCAAGCAACCTTGTATGAATGACTTTGAGGGAGTCAACTTTAAGCTATGATAGATAACCAAATCGAATACTCGAACCAAGAATGCATCAACGAACCAAAGACCAGGTCTGAAAAATGTGACTTTATATACTATGCACGTGAGGGTGGACACATACACTGCATCGTATACTTATCAAGATATTCAAAACGAAGATACATGACTACTACAAGAATTCTTATGACACCCAAGTGTTCTTATTCAAGTTTGCCAAGTTAGTCTCTTATGACGTCAAATTGAACTCATATCCATGGAATTAGGTGTTACAACAGAAAAAGATAAAGGACCTTTGCATCTCAAATATCCTAAGTATATACCTTGGTTCCTGTATGTCCGCACAAGATCCTCAGTCACTTCCAAGGTTTTCTGAGCGAACAGGCCCTCAGTGCCACCTGCGAAGTGATGTTCAAGTTTACATATGCAACATGCTGAAATAAACACATGCTAAGAGCTATATGTACTCTTTGAAAAGTAATTGTCTGCCTTCAGATGCTGAAAGAGATAACCTCATTATATATATGCGGATAAAGAAGTAAATTAAAACTATCTAAATATTAAAACTATCGTTGAGGCAAGACCTTACAAATTCTTCACAGTGACATTCAAGCATAATGACAAACCTGCCATCCAATGAATTTTCTTTGCTGACGAAGTTGGGTGGACGGTAGCTATTAGTCAACTTAGAATGAAACAGTTTTGCTCAAAAAAAGTCCTCGCAAGTAAGCTGTACTTACCAACAAATCCGAGGAGGACATTTGAGGTGTTGTGAGCTTTCAAGGCATCAAACAAGCCTGTTACGACATTATGTCCGCCAGGTGACTGACGGCCACAAAAGACAACGCCAACCCTATGCGAAAGACAGTCATAACAATCCGTCAATTTCAGAGCAGCCAGTATCTTCTTTGTAGGATGACTCAGCCCAGGGTGGACAAAATCAAGCAACATTTTCAGACATGAAAAATGTGGTAGGTGCGGTGCTACACCTGAGCGGAACACTTTGAGAAACTCCATTCTCACTTTGAGAATTTCCATTCTCTGTGCCACTTGGTGCTTTAAGGTGAACTAAAGGTAATCCATAAGTTAGAGGAAAAGATCGACTGATAACGAGAGCGTCGGCGGGATCTGCAGCAACGGTGGAATCTCCGCGGACTAATTCAACATGGCTTCCCTGGAACGAAGCACACACACAGGCTCAGAACTATGAATAAAAAATATATTGGCAGGGGAAAAAAATGATTGGAATCCTAGAATCCGAAAAAATTCATAAATGTCGAACTGCAGCATGACGAGATTGTGTGTTAGCGGGTGCTTCTCCATGATCTATACTTCAATTATTCGCTGGGGCAGGAACAAAAGTGTAGTTCAAACACTCTGTAGGTACACTTGCTAACTAATCAGCCATTAAAACCCAACAATGAGAGGCGAGAAAGACAATGGCATTGACAACAGGTGAGGAGGAAAACACTGCAATGAACAAGTCCTGTGCTAGGCCAAACGCTTCAACTGGGATACAATACCGGGTGTCAGAATCGTAACAGACCTCCGGTGGATTACCCAACGCAGCTTCCGTATATACTGCTTAGTCCCTCGAAATATAAGAAATTTGAAAATTTCACAACACAACGATTGGTAGAACAGAAACGAGCGTACCGAGAATTTATGTAGATTCAAATTACGTGTCTTTCAAGAATCTGAAAATAATTCAAGCTCCATGCGACAGTAACAAGTAACACCTCTCTTCCAGTATTCACTACTAGCTGTGGGACAAAAAGCACCTCTCTAAACGTCCTAAGATCAAAACGTAGAGTTGTAGATGCCACCACACTCTGATGCAAATTCAACTCGGGCAAATGGCATGACAATGTTACGTAACACTAACCTGCAATGCCGGCGGGAGACGCGCCTTGTATGCGGTGCGAACATGCTGAAGAGTGGAGAGCTCCACCAGCGGCACTCCCATCGTGAAGATGAGCTTCAAAATGCAAACCAAAAAGGGAGAATCGACGAGTTTGTGGATCTTTGATCGGCCGACGATGCTCCTCTCCCGTCCCACTCTCTTGAAGAGCAAGAGCACCCCGTTGCAAAACACGAGCGAGCTCACGGCGCTTACACGAGAGATATCGATCCAAGACAAGTGTATGCCTCGCGAATATGCCTAGATGCTCTGGACGCTCCCGCACGCCTGTGCTAACCCATGACACCGACTGACTACGACCTCCCCTAACTTCGTAGAGGGAGATTCAGTCACGATCGACGAGGAAGGAGCGAGCGTCTAATTAACCATGAAGAAAAACCTCCTCTCTTGATGCCAACGCTCCCATCTAATCATTTCTATCTACCAGTTTATTCTCACTTAACAAGTATTGTTATATATCAAATTATTTGAGGGAGCTCTCCGTCCTCGTCTTCCGTTCGATATGTCCTCTCATCGCGCTTTAAATAAGAAACAAACGGGATTGCCATACGATTTATTATAATTTCCTACCGTTGTCAGCAGAATGTCAGTTATATTAAGAGTTCTTTTAGAAGATAGGAAGACACGTGTTCAAGATAATGTTAGGCAGCGCTGATTGGAGTTAGGAATGTAAACGAGAAATCAAACGGAAACGAAGAGGCGAAAAAACGTGATCGCTTTACTAGTAGGTGAGTAGGCAGCACCCAACACAAAGATAAGCTTTGTAAAATCAGCCCATTCCGCATGACGCGGACACGGACGCTGGACCATTAAACAAGTGGATTATAAGATCCTCGAATTGTCGTTCTGACACGCTGGACAGTGGCAATTGGCTCCGCGTGTATGGCATTCAGTATTCACCTGTTTGTCTCTGCGTCGAGATTGCTGCTCCCAGGATTCAAGAGTAAAACAATCTACACACTTGTCATAGTATTTTTGGCAACAAGTAACATAGACAAACACATAGACATGGCACGCGAATAACCATAAAGGTTACAAGTATAACTTTGGAACGTGAGGACAGATGGATGATTCCATTATTGAGTGAGGTAATGTTCACCAACCTGCCATTGAAAAATGGTGTTTTCAGTTTTTTCTTGTCAAAGAATATTATCAGAATTTTATATTTTATGAATTGAGTTTGAGGAGGTATTTATGTGACCAAGTTAACGAGTGTTGCTTATTTGATTATTACTAATCCTATACATTATCCAGCTTTTTAGAATATATATTTTCCTGGATGGACCTTGCAAGTATGGTGGCAACCGCCAAGGTTTTCCTCGTAAAGATTATGCAAAGATTTCCTCTTTTTGTTTATTTTTTATTTGTACTTGTGTAGAATTATATTTGACATGTTTGTGAAAAATTTTATGCCAGTACATCTTGTTCAGCGATAAAGTGAATCCATTGTTTTCAGAAAATGTCTCTATTGTCCTATGGACACTACTGATTGATCTTTTGCATAAAATTACAATCTCGTCAGTTAATTGAACATCATATGCTGTTGTTCTGTCTAAAACGCTTTATCTTGGATAGTGAATTTATTATCTACATATATGTTGTGATCTCATTTTTCATGAGGATGTAATTTTTAAGATCTATACAAAAATAATTATTATATCAGTATACTTCTAGAAAATTTTCAAAATCATCATATGAATAATGTAATTCTCCTATCAAAACATGAATCAAAGAACAAATTGTTAACGGTTAACTAAATCTTGTTTAAATCTAATTACTTTGATAATGATAAATTGCAAAAAAAATTTATAACAACATAAAAGGGCTAGTATATGATTTATGTGACAGAAATAATTTTTCGAATATAGATGTCTTGTTTTTATCAAGACACATGTTCAATGCAAATTAATAAAATTTACGTATCAATCTTTCAAGATATTGCATGCTTAAAATATAAAATGACTTTTTTGTAATAATCTTAATTTATTTTAATTTATTTTTTATTTCTTTTTAAATTAATTTATATTTATATTTAATAATATTTAATTCTATTAAAAATTTTAATAAATTAAAAATTCAATTTTTTGGCCGTTATTAAATAATAAGAATTTTATTATATAATATAAAATTTAGTGTTAGTAAACGTAATGTAATGATCTCAATCATAAATTTCTTGGGAAAAAAATTTGAGGAAATTTGTTTCAAATTTATAATTTTTTATGTAAATATTTATATCAGATTTTATTTTGTGCATATGTATATATATATATATATATAGTATCTTATAATTATTGAACTGAATCTATCATATTTTGGATTTTAGAAAAAAATATTATTTTAATTAGATCAGGCTTCACATATTTTTAAAAAAGTTTTGATTGTATGATTGAAAAGTGCATAAATTATTTTTATCATGAAGCATGTGTTGTTTGTTAAAGTAGAGTCAAGCACTTAGATATAATTAATACATCAAACGATTGATTCGACTCTAGAAGTTAAGAACACAACAAATTTCATGTCAAATAGTAAGTTTGAACCAATTAGAGAGCTGAAGCCAACTTTCTTACGTCCTGCAAACTTATCAATCTAAATACACATTATTACATTAATTAGAGTTAAGCAAGAATTTAATTGATTTTATAACATCATGAATCATATAGATATAGATAAGGACTTAAAAATGCAAGTTTTTTTATTTATTTTTTGTTCTAAGAAATAACCACATGGAACTTTACATCATTAAGTGAATAATTGTCAAAAATATCATCTTAGCAATTTGATTAGATTTGCATTTTTAAATAAATTGAACTATATATCAGGAAATTTTATCTAGGATTTCAATAAAAAAAAAGTTCTTTGGAACATGTTTATGAACTGATGTAAATTGCTTCAAATTCTGAAATGCTTAGACATTCAAGATATGTTAATGCTACAGAACTTTATTTCATAATTTTGCTTGATTTTTTAATTGTGATAGAGAATTTTCTGCCCAAGTATTATATAGTTGAAAAGTAGAACTTTGATACAAATGCTTTAATAAACAAAAGAAGGTTTCTGAGTGAAAGTTGAATAATTCAATAATTTGTGAAATATTTCCATTTATTAATATCAAGAAACATCAATTTACTATCAAATCTTGTTATGTAAAGTTAAAAGATAAGAGAATTATTTTATTTTCATAAACTATTTTTGTTTGAAATGATTTACGTTAGAATTACACTCTTGCTATGATATTTATTTATGTTTTATTTGAATCATTCAATTCGATAAATTTTTTGATTTATAAAAATACTTGATTTCATTTCAAATTTTTATATTCATTGAGATTTTTTTCCTTAATGATTACATAAAAAAATATTGAAAAAAATTATAAATATTTGAGTATTAATACATTTGATATTGCAAAAATTTACATGCAATTGAGATGCACACAAGTGCAACAATAATAAATATACTTGATTTGTTATGCGGGCTAGGTTCACAAAATCACCATGAGTTCTTGAAAAAAACTAAAAATAATTGCCAAAATATTCTGCTAATTTTTGTGTATATCAATAGTTTTAGCAGTTTAGGTTTTAGGATTTATTTAAACCTTAAATCTAATATGTAATTTGAGTAAACTAAGTATCATAAGATTTGATTTGACTCATGATAACCTATTATTTTAAGAATTATACTCACAGAATTATTATTACTGTGAAGAACATTCTAAAATTATACATAACATAAGTTACTTTTTCAAATATAATTAATTTCAATTAAAAATGGCTTAATTAAAAAATATAGATTTTAATAAAATATAAATAGTTAACAAAATAACGAGTTTAAATTATCTATGCTTCTCTTGCACAATATTTCAAAGTTTAAAAACACTTTCCAAATGAATAATTTTGTAAACACTCTAATTAGATTCATGTAACTCAATCTTTATGAACTCAATTTTTTTAATAAAACTACAAATCTGATTTAGTGATTCTTGATGTTGATATGTTACACTGTAGTTTTTTATTATCACAACAAAGATTGACAATTTCATATTTCAAATTCATCTAAGTTATAAATTCTCTCAATCATGTAGCTTCCTTTGCTATGCAAAGCTAGTTTCATTATGAACTAAGCTATAAAGTTTTCCAAAGTAAATCTTTAACTAATGCATCTATCATCAAATGTAATTGCATATTCAACTGTAATTTTTTTTTCTCAAAATCTTGTACACATTGTATAATCATCTAGGATAGTAAAGAATTGGCATTTTTTGATAAAATATCAAACAAAATATCATAAAATTTACTAATATAGAGGTATAAAAGACTTATTTTCATAAATTTTCAATGCGTATATATTTTAATTGACATGTATGTGCTCATCTTGATCGCATTTGAAGCAACATGAATTCTTGTGCATACAATAAAATATAAAATTTTTCCCACAAATTTATCATTAAAAATTGATGACATCTTTTGCTTTTCATTGAAATCTCTTAAAAATTGAGTCATAGAAAGTTTGAAATATGTTGCTTAAGGTGTTTATTCTTTTAGAGTTTATCGTGTTAAACTTATCAAGCACATGTACTTGTATTAACTAAATCATAGTAATTACTTTCCAATATTTTGATGCACATCCATTAATAATATACTCTTGAATTTATCCAAATCTTTCATCTTAAACATAAATTTCAATTGGTTATTGCATACGTCTAAGTTGAATTGATATTTGGCCAAAATGAACATAGCATTCACGTAGATCACTAAAACCGTAAGTAAAAAAATAGAATTTTTTAAATATATACGTGCAAATCATACACACTTTGTGAAAACTTTTGTGTTTTCATAAATTCATCAAACATTGCATACCATTGCATAAGATGCATATATTGACTTTAGCAATCTAAAAATCAAATTATATTGAAATTTTTTTTACTTCTCATATAAAATGCTATGATCACATATCATTTTATACCATATATAGATTGAATTTTGTATTAAATGCACATTCTAGTCAAATTGTAGCATATTTTGCTAAAATTTAAAAAAACTTTGTTGTAATGCACATTTCTTTTGTGAAAATATTAATCACTAACTTGGTTAATTTTTTTTTTATCTTCATCTTCAAGATAACACTTCAATTTGTACATCCAGTTCCTATTTAGAAGAAAAGTCATTCATAGAAAGTTTCACTAGTTTTCACGTTTTGTTATTCATCAATAATTGCATCCTACTCTTCATAGAATTTTACAATTAAGCTTACTAACAAAAGATTGAACTTTTTCATATAAACATGGTTTTTTTCTTCCGATATCAATGCAATGCAATGATTATTTTCAATCTCATATCATGATCTTTAAAAATGAATAAGACAATCAATCATATATGTATTATAGGTTTTTCACTAATCAAATTTGATGAACTCCTAGTAGTTTGCTAGCT